TCACGGAGTTGAAAATGGTCATTTAATCCCATCAAGAATTGCATCATTTTGTGCTCGTTGTGTATACTCTACAAACGGTTGTGAAACCTCACTTTTGCAATTTGGACAAACACAAGTGAGCATAGGAATCAATGAGTCATATTGATCCCATAGATTTCGCAGTTTTGAATAATACACTGCTACACTCTCTAAACCTTGAATTAAAGAGTGAATCGCTTTGTGCAGAGCAAATATTTTAGCTCCATACTCGCTTGTCAAATCTTTCCTTCAAATCTCTCCGGACCTCTTCCGCCGATTGATAATACACCAATTCATTAAACAACTGTGTGGATACTCGAATTCAAAATCCAAGCATGAACCAAGGCATTGCACTTTTTCCACTTGTGAATAATCGGGCGAGTCCGCATCTAGTTTCAAACATTGTCCGAGTGACAAATCCATCTTTACTTTTGGCTTCTAAGGAGATCATCATAGCTTTGCTCCATGAGTTGTAATCTTCTTCTCCTCCGAGTAAATGAGAAACAAGAACTAAATTTGGAGTATCCGAAGGATGGAGATATAGAGGATCATTAGTATCTCTAGCCGAGCTCTATGAAAGTTAGCGTTATCAACCCGATTCGCCATGTGAACTCTTCAAAAAACGAGACTAATTAAAAAAAACAGAGACTAATCACAAGGTTTGTAGAAGAAAAGCTTGATTTGGTTGGTGAATGATGAAGACGATGAGATGCTCGATACCATGTTGAGAGAACGGAAAGAGAGAGAAACATACGGAAAGTGTGAATTTGTTATTTTTGAATTTTGTTTGTTACTCGTTACAACGATATAGAGTGTCTATTTATATATACACTAGAGGAAAGGTTCCTCCGTAGCTCACATGCTTCCTTATTGTTTACACCGCACTACTTTACTATATACACATATTAATACATTACAATTATACTCTTAACAGGGTTAGTGCACAAGTTTGAAAGGCATTTTAAGGATAGATTCTGCTCTCTATATTGTTCAAGCTGCTCTGGAACCACTTCTCTCCTTCAGCTGGGACCATAGCCGGATTCTTTCAAGTGAAAAGTTGTATTGTCTTTTGATCGTGGATACTGAATATTTAAACCCGAAGATGAATCGAAATAGTAAATAACTTGGAACAAATTGGAATGTTGAAGATCGTGATACAAATGATGTGATGGTTATTACAAAGTTGCATAAAGTTGCGTCTAAGCTTGGAAAGGCATTCACAGATCACCATTAAATCAGGCCATGGTCGATCAAAATTTAGGGCCTTTCGCGTGTATGCAGCATCAGATGTGGGCCGATCGTTGCCAGTTGGGGATGTGAAATACAAGGGACCATAAGGGTGGAAAGTAAAAATATATGAAAGCCGTGAACTTCAAGCGGAGACCTCGTCTTTTGAGCATCCTGATCACACTGGCCAGTCCCAAATATTTCTTAAGAATGATCGTCTTTCAAAGAATGTTATAGGTGATCATTGTGTCAAATATGATCAACTTATTAAGATGATTCGTCTTCAAAAAATATTACATGCGGTCATCATATCAAAATAATCATTTTTTCAATAGTATCGCATGTGGTAACCATATCAAGATAACTAATTTATTATGTAATAGTGCATTTTTACTATCTCAAGATGATTGTTCTTTTTAATAGTGTCATATACAATCATCGTGTCAAAATGATTCATCCATCCAATTAGTAGCATAGGCGGTCATCTTGCAGTGGATAACTAATTTTTTTAGAAGCCAGACTATCATCCTACCATAGATGACCCAGTTTTTCCTTAGCAGCCAGTCAATCATCCTGTAATAGTTTTATAATATTCTAGCCTCCAAGCGCTTTGTCTTTCAATTTTTAGTTTACTTTCGCCCAAATTTTGTACGTCGCATGGTGATTTCGTTTGTTTATGATGTATTATAATTTTTAATGTGATGCGTGCAAAATTTGAATAATTTATTAAATTTAGACTAATTGAATCGGGCTTAATTGAAAGTAGTTGAATTCAAAGTCCTTAATTTTATTTGACATATATTTAAAAAGCTTTGAATATGGTTCAGGTGATCTTTGTGTGCCTAAATTTGGTTTGATTGAGATTTGAGATGTGTAGCATTGGAGGTTTATAGTTATTCTTATTTTTAATAATAAGAGATTAAGGGTGATTACTAGTAGTTTAATTTTATTTTTTTATCTAAAAAGCTCCAGAAAAACTTTTGACCAATGATGAAGTTAATAATAGAGTAGCTTTTTTTTTTTTTTTTTTTTTTGTGGTCTTCTCTGTATAATTTTTGTCTTTCCATATCTGATTTGACGTGATTATTTGATGTGATTCCAATCTCGACTAGTTTAGATAAGTAGGTTTAGGATTTAAGCTCAATTTAGTTTCAATAATAGGAGTTATTTATTTATTTATTATCATTATTTTGTTTTATTTTATTTTATCTTGTTGGTACCAATAATTTAGTTGGTAGATTTCATTCTGACTTTGATAGGGATCTTAGGCTCAGTTTTTTTTTTAACTTTTAATTGACATGTTCGGTTGATATAGGCTCAAGGCCTGTGTTCTTATTGTTTTTTATTTTCTTGTTTAGCAGGTTTTGAACTTGTAACTTTTATTTTATGAACTTGAGTCTAAGGTCCAACTTTGTTTTTATTTTGTTTTATGTCTTCTACTTGGGCTTAGGTTATTTAATTGTCAAATGGACTTTAAGCTCTGACATTAACCTTTCTATTTGGACTCCAATGACTCAATGACAATTTAAACGAGAGATTGAGTTTCTTTGGGTTTTCAAATCACCCAATTTAAAATTGGTTAGAAAAAAAGCATAATAATCAACTCACAATTTAAGATATAAAAGTAGACATTGGACCTATATTAATGAATTCTTATAAATTTAAAATTCGATATAACTTCATTACAAAGACACATTAGGATAATTGTGGTCTTTTCTAATTGTATAATCAACTTTCTTATGTAGAACTTTTAGGACCAATGTTGATTTTTTTTAATTTTCATCGTTAAAAAAATTGAGTGGTAATTTTAGATATTCGAACTATATATTTTATGATCATATGAATATCAACTTGTGGAAAAAAATAAAGCTTTTTGGTGTTTAAGAATGTCCAACTAATGGGCCTACTATGTCCGACCTTGTCTCTGTTCGTATCCAACATATGGGACTTTAAACAATTTTGGTCTAAGCAAAAAGATTTAAAAATTTTTAGAGTCGCCTCCAAGTATTGAAGAAAACTTGAAAACCTAGGAAAGACACTAGATTTTGAGATTTTCGGTAAGGACTTTGGTTTTGTTCTTGGAAAGATAACAACCACCTAAAAGCATCATTTCCAAGAAAAGATAACAAATTTAGTATAATCCTAAAAGTCATGTTTGCCAAATTATGCTTCCTAAGTATATTTCTAAGCTTGTTTGTCACCTATGTCAAATTGATTTTTTTATTTTTATTATGGAATCGTATTAAATTGATATCATACCCCACACCTTAGTGTCTCGTCAATTTAGAATCGGATTCAATTGTGTTCTCAAGCAACTAAAATGTCGAGGAACGATTTAGTAGTTAAAGGTATTCAATGTAGATAAGAAAAGTTTCCCAAAATTGATTTTTTATTATTATTTATTGTGAAATCATATTAAATTAATGTCGGATCCTAAAATTGAGAGTCTCATTAGTTTAACATTGAATCCAATTATGACTCGACAAGATTGACACGTCGAGAAACGACTTAATTAGATAAAGATGTTAAGCTGACTTATATTTATCCTAACTAATTCTCTTTCTTTTGTTTTGTTTTGTTTGTTTGTTTTTTTTTTCAAGTGGAGTGTTAAGACTAACATCGGTCCCTATTTAAAATAAATGACTTGTTAGTTCAATTTAATTTTTTCTAATTTACCTAAAAGGATATATTATTTCATAGTTGCACATCAAACCTAATACAAGATCATAATCGGTTCCGAGACTTTAAGAGACTCAATGATCCCATATCAAACGAGACAAAACTTAATTTAACCTTTAACATATAAAATACTTGTAACATGGCATGAAAAAAAAATACCAAAATAAACACTAAATGAAATCAAAATTCGATGAAATTTTTACGGAAACTTCCTAACGCAGTTTTATGGATTCCCTAAAATTTCAAGCCAAAATTAGATCTGGAACAAGTCTAATTAATTAAATTCCGAAACAGTTCTCACCAATAATTAAAAATGAGAGCAGGATAACGAATAAATTGTAAATAAATGTCAAATGACATCCAAAAATTACAAAATTTAAAGTTTGAGTTGAGGATAGATATATGTACCACTTGTCAAATAAATAAATACACAACCAGCCCTCCTAAAATCGAGATTCTGCCTATTTAATACCTATTTCATTCAACATTAGGGATCCAATTGAAAATGATAAAACTAACATCACAAAACTGAAACAAACCCCAAGTTTAAGGGGATAATCTAAAAGCCTAGAAACTATATCGCAAACCAAAAGTTTTCTCTTTTTCTAATATGCTACCGCCGAACCTTTTTGTTCTTTTTCTTTGGCTAATTAATTCTATAGTATCCTATGCGTAGCCCAATGATTGACATCTTGAGCTAAACTTTTTCAACTCGAATGTTATAATTATTTTTTTGGGTTGTAATTAAATTCATGGATTTCGTTGATCAAATTCTAAACACATATCACAGGCTCGTGATGATGAATTAACCGAACCACCTTGGACTTATTTTTCCTCTCTCCTCTCTCTCCTCTCTCACCCTTTAATGCTGTTAGTCGTAGTAACATTGTTCATTTTCTAGTTCAGTATTAAAACAGTACTGGCTCAGACCAAACCAGACTGCCGGAAAACCTTGATAATTCTCGTCAGCATTCAATGTCAGATAGCATGCCAAGAGTTCTTCGAGCTCTTCTCGTCGGCTAATTCTTTTCTCCTCAATCATCTCAATCATTGAATCTCTGAAATCCTTCTATGGATCAAACGAGCTTTTCACCACTGCGAAATTCTCTAGCCCTGTGAATCCCTCCATTGTTTTCTCCCTGGCTTTTTTTCTTCATTTCCATCCTGGCTTTCTGCATGTCTTCAACTGCTTTTATTCTGTAGATTTCGACTTTTGAAGTTGTTCTTGGAGAAATAGCCCTCACTTTACTGTTCTTTTTCCTTTGCAATTCTCTGCTTATATGCTGAGATTTTCTCTGTTTCTCCCTCATTGACTTGAGCTCTTCAATCTTCATGTCTTTCAACTTTTGCAACTCAAAACCCAAATTTTCAGCAGAAAATCCATCGCTTTCCTTCCGAGAACCAAACACAATCTCTTTTTCAGTCCTGTTTAGATGAGAATCTCTTGCATTGATGGAAGACAGAGAGAAACCTTTTTTGAATAAGAAATCTGTCAACTCACCGTCCTCCCTCTCAATCATCCCAATTGTTCTTTCTCTTTCCGTTTCAAAAATATCCTTTGATGTCTCTTTTCTTGATATCTTCTCTGCTTCATATGGTTGTTCTCCATCTAATTTGAACTGCTGCTCTTCGAAAACCCTTCGATCCGTTTTCCTCAATTTCTTATCTCTCTCGACCCTGATTTTTGGTGTTCTGATTTCTGCTACCTTTTCTCCTATACATGCATCCATTTTAGGCAAAATTTCAATTTCTCTTGGCAGTCCTCTCATTTTTCTTACTTCAGAAACCATGTTGCTGAACTTAGAAGTGTCTTCTTTTCTATAATTTACCCTTTTAGCATTTGATCTACAGGTGTGACAACTTGATGGTGGAGCGTCAGGCTCATTGTCGAAATCATAATGAAATGATCTCAAAGCACCTTTGTTCTTCTCCCCATCAGCGCTATCATCTCCAAAAGAAAGTCTCCAAAAAGCATCACCATCCCCTCCACAGAATCGACCTCCTCCTTCACCACCAGCAAATGGCAATGGACTTGTGGAGACAGAATTCAATTTCCCTTTTTGCTTTTCTTTTGCATGTTCTAATTGATGCTCATGTGCTTGAACTTTGTTAGCCAGGAAGTGGGCAAAACATGAGATATTAAAGATGGGCGCGAAGAAGGAGAAGATGGGGTTTTTTCTTACCCCACTTCATCTTTTTCTACTTCTGTCAAATAGGGTTTCTTCCTGTTTGTTATTGATTTCGGTTTGATGAGAATTGCTTGATGTGTTAAGGTACATCCTGGTTCTTACTGTAATTTCGGTTACTCCAATATCTACCGGTAGACTTCACTCTAAGAATCCAAGTTGCTGGTCATGAAAAAGTAAGAAAGGGATGACAAGGTTAGGGATGTCAATCGATGACAAGATGAATTTTGTTGAGTTGTTTAGACATTTCTCTGAAATTCAGTCAACTTTCTTATTCATGAAAACAGATTATGTAGCATTTAGAATACCTTTTAACGTCCTAATTTTTGGTTATGCTAACCTGAAGTTGTTACGTACATTTTTGCTTGATTTATCAGAATCGCTGGCCTTTTCAGCAATTTTTTTTTTTAAATAGGGGAGGAACATAGAAGTGACAATTAACTGTTTTTTTGATTTCGATACCAATCCTAACTCAACTAAAAACGAATCTAACTCTCTTGACAATCGAAAGAAAAGAGGGAATAAAAATATGGAATTGCCATTATTTAGTTATGAGAGCGTATTAGTTGCAACTAGACAATTCTCAGATAAGCTTGGAGAGGGAGGTTTCGGACCTGTGTATAAAGTAAGTTATATTCAAATAAGAAATTCTGATTACTTATCTAACCTTTTCAGATAAATTTTGAAATATTTTCTACTTATTATAAACTATTTAAATGAAAAATCTGTAGGATTTTTTGTTCATCAGGGTAAATTACTCCAAAGACTGGAAATAGCAGTAAAGAGGCTTTCAGAAAGATCTGGATAAGAACTTGAGGAGTTCAGAAATGAGACACTACTAATAGCCCAACTCCAGCATCAAAATCTTGTTCGGCTTTTGGGTTGCTGTATTGAACGGGATGAGAAAATATACTAATCTATGAGTACATGCCAAATAAAAGCTTGGATTTCTTTCTATTTGGTGAGAATTATCTTGCATTTTCCCCCATTTTTGCATGGTAATTTTTTGTTTAATTAATTTTTCAAATGATTAAAGAAATTTATGTCTGATTTGTGTTTAAACTATAAACAGATGTGAACAAACGACAAATCTTAGATTGGGGTACTGAATTCAGATAATACAAGGAATCGCTTAAGGTCTTTTATATCTACATACATACTCGAAGTTACATATTATTCATAGGGATTTAAAACCTAGCAACATTTTTCTAGATAGTAAAATGAATCCCAAAATATCCGATTTTGGGTTGGCTCGAAGTTTTGGGGGCAATGAAACTCAAGCGAACACCAACAGGATTGTTGGAACATAGGAAGTTGCTTAAAAATTACTCAATATTTCAATTTCATTTTCCAATACATTCTACTTTTAACATAATTTGCATCGACTTTTGTAAATCTTAGTGGCTATATGTCCCCTGAATATGCGATGGAGGGTCACTTCTCGATAAAATCTGATGTGTTTAGTTTCGAAGTATTGTTACTTGAGATTGTGAGCAGCAGAGTATCACGACGACTCAATCAATCTTCTTGGACATGTAAGTGGGCAGCTTTCATATACCCTCATTTTGTTTTCTTCCCGCTTCAATTGTATTTGATCCCTACCTAGTCTTCACACTAATGATGCAACATTTGCGTCATTATACCACAAGCAAGGAATTTATGAAATTCTAATAAAGCTTTGGACTTGATGGATCCAACCTTGGGAGATCCTCCTTCAACTTCTATGATACTGAGATACATAAACACAGGGCTTCTTTGTGTCCAAGAAAGTCCTGCTGATCGGTCTACAATGTCTGATGTTATCTCCATGATTGTAAATGAATACGTACCTCTCTCAGAACCTAAGCAACCTGCTTTTGTTGTAGGCAAAAAAAATGGAAGAAACAGAGCCATTGATGAGTTGTGTTGAAATACCTTCCGTGAATAATGTGACAATAACAACCATAGATGCCAGATAATTGTTTTCAATAACAAGATATCATTGGATTTATAATGATAGACTAGTCGAATTCCTTGTAATAAATGAGGTGATCGAAAAAAGAAAAGAAAAGAAAAATTTCATCCGAGAGTTTTAAAGAATTTTTGATTGCACAATGAATGATAGTTCTTTCTACTATATTTTAATTTAATAAACTGAAGTTAGTGATTTGCAAGTATACTGCTATGTAAAAAACGATTGGGCCAATCTATCTGTAGAAAATAGTCTAATTTTAATCCTATAATTATTTGTAAGTGAGCACATTTTGTGCAATTTGATCCTATCAATATTTTTCATGTATCAATGTATTTTAGGATAAATAGCTCAATTTTTCTTTTTATAATAGGTTGAATCTGTAATTTGTTTTTATGTTTTTAACTGTATTTATTATATTTTAAATATTATTTAAATCTTCAATCTATCTTCTTCTCTTTTTGTTTTTTTGCATGTATTAAAAAGTTGTCATAACCAGAAAAATTGATCAGTAGAATAGATTGGAAACTAATGCAATATTCAAAAATATAATAAATATGATTAGAAACATATAAATAAATTAAAAATTCAATCTATTAAATAAAAATAAATTTACTTATTTATCCTATATAGTCAGCATTCTTTTTATTATTTTGATAGTATTGAAACATGAACAATATCAAATTCAATATTCGTAAAAATTACTTAATTCCAACCTGAAATATGTTTAAAATCAAAATTCTAAAGGCTTACCGCAATTTCAGTTCTTTTCACTCAAATGTGTACAATTATGAAAGCAAGACCCCTTAAAATGAGATCAAGACAGGATTTTTATGGTTGTTATCAAAACTGAAAATCTAAATGTGAAAATCTATAGCATATAAAATGACTTTTTTTTATTCTTCTAAACTATTAAAATTGGAAAAAAGAACATTTTTTCTCTATGGATTTGATGTTCTAGGGTTTAACCAAGAATAAAGTTTCAATCCTAATCGAAAGCCCAAAGACAGTATCATCTGCCCGAAAACAGTATCGTTTCATAGCACATAAACCTTGAAAGCGCATGCGTAAAGTTTTCGTCTTTTTCAACTAACAAAACAAGCATAAATGCCCTTACCTTCAAACCCTTCTTTAATCCCTTGTTTGGATAGGGAGGAAAGTGGGGGAGAGGAAATGAAAATTTTCCTCCGTTTGGTTTGTAGAAGAAAGCTGTGGAAAAAAAAATATTAAACAAATCTATAAGTGGTGGGACTCATTTTCCTCTCAAAATTGGGAGGAAATTGGGAGAAAACACAGAAGAAATCATCAAAATATTTTGATTCACATGTTTGCCCTCATCTACCTCTGCCTCAACCGTTCCCCTTCTTTGCAGTAACAAAAGAGATCTGCAAAACAGATTTTCCTCAGCCTTGACCCTCACAAAACCCTTCTCTCTAACCTCAAGCCCACTTTCATTTTCACTCCTTATCACAGAATCAACAACGATTGTACTAGCTTTGAGGTCGGATTTCAAGGACAGCAAAAGACACGAAGGAGATCTAAAGGGGATCCAACGACAAGGACAACAGTAGCTATGCTTCATCAGAATCCGGTTGTCTCCGATTTAATGGCCATCGGTTTATCTGCTACTATCGCTCTCTCTGTCCTTCATTTCTTTGAAGAAACTGCTAAACAACATGTCTTCGACCAGGTCTCTCCCTCCCTCAATTTCCTCCCCCATCGCATATAATTTTTTGGACATTTTTATAAAGCTTAAAACTACATGCACTACCTTTTCTTGTCCTTTGATTAATGGGTCTTTGCAATTTTATTGTTTTTTAGATGGGTTTTTCTTGTTTCTCTTTGGTTCTCAATTTCAGGTACTATTCTTTAATTTTTTGATTTTTGGTAATGGGTTTTGTATCTTATGATTGAGTATTGGCGTAGGATTGTAAGCTAAAGGGGAAAGGACTCGAAGGCAAAAGACGCTGGAGCAAAGGGAAAGGGTAAGGAAAAGAAGGCAGGGGGAAGTGATGAAAATGGTTCTAAGGGAAAAGAAAAATCTGGAAAGGCTTCAGATGGGCTCGGCACTTGCACTTATGTCAAAGGTTTCTGTTTTATACTCCACTACTTTTTTTTTAGGGTTTAAGAGTGAATAATGATATTTTACAATCATTGTGGAAGTTGTATTTTTTTTCATGTTATTGATTAAAGAATGTTATTTAGAAACTTGATTGTAAAAGAGAAATTTTGGATGCCCTGTATTCGAAATTTGTGCTCAGGATCCTCCAGCTGAGTTTGCTAAGGTGAACTTACATAGAGTTGCTCTAGCAGGATAAGGCTATGGCTTCGACATCTGATGTGAAGTTTTGATTACTGTTATTTATTGGTTACGAGTCTTTTTTGTGCTCCTGTTGTGCTTTATTTGTGTCTTTGCTGTTCCATTGTAAGAGTTGCTACTCATTCATGGTAATTGCTATTGGATTAGAAGGGACGATGAATTGTGTTTGCAACTTGATTGGTTTGGTGTTGCTTAGATCGTTCCTTATGGTATTTACTGCAGTTTGGCAATTTGTCTTCAACCTCAACTATGTTTGGTTATTGACCTTTTCCTCTAAGATTGGTTTAGTGTTCCCAGTTTTCTTTCCTCTGCATTCCACCGTCACTATTAAGGAAAGATACAATAGGATTTGTGGATGCAGTTTCTTTCCTTTTGTCATTACTAAATCAATTGGGTCTAAGCGTAATCTATTATGCAATTATCTCTTCTATTAGAATCGTTTTGACTGGAGTTGCTATGCAGTAGTCTTTATGGCTTTATATGCAAATTATCTTTCACCAAAAGCATGACAGAATGTTAAAACTAAACAGCTTTAGCTAAATATTTATCCATGTCTTTTCAAGTTGGACATATAATCAACTTTCATTTCTTTCTATCTAATGAAAGGCGAATCACATTCAAAACTAGTTGAGAACATGACTAAATATGGAAAGTCATGTAGATAAAAAGTTGTTGCATAAAACGCTAGTAAATCATGTTACTTCCACGCATGATTCCTGTAAACAAATAGGATTTTAAGAATAAAACATTTGACATCCATGTTCAATTTTCCATGAAGATTTCAGTAACTTACTGTACAATATTCGATTGAAAAAAATGATACTTTCGCTATAATCCTGATTTTATACCGATAGTTCCCCTGCTACCAACAACTTATGCTATTTATGACCATCCTTTGATTTTATGGATTATTTTATAGAGATGATTTATTATCCTTCTTGTTATTTCAGATAGATGTTATATGTTAGATTTTTATTTTATTATCATTTGTGTAATTTTTATAAAAAAAAATTCAGACAAATTTATTATAAGTATTTAAATATAAAAATATAATTACATAGGTATTACAGTAAATATACAATAATACATTCCTCAACCCTTTCACATTTTTTGATATGGAACTTGGGAGGCCCAAAACCTCCCTCAAAGCACCAAAATTAGCTCTCAAAAAGCTACAAACAAGCCCCAAAACACCTAAAAAAATAGCTTCAAAATAGACTCAACACCTACCCAAAGCCCCCAAACTCAGCTCCGAAACTGTTACCAACAGCCCCCAAAACCCTTACAGAGCAACTCCTTTGGAAAGGCCATTTGAACCACCAAAGAAGCTCCACAAACACCCCCAAACCAGCTTCACAACCACCCAAAAAAACCCTAAAAAAAGAGGCCTAAAACCAACCCCAAAACAGACCCAACACCTACCCAAAAGCCCCCAAACTCAGCCTTGAAACTGTTACCAACAGCTCCCGAAAACCCTTACAGAGCAACTCCTTTGGAAATGCCATTTGAACCACCAAAGAAGCTCCAAAAACAACCCCATATCAGATTCAAAACCACCAAAAAAACCCTAAAAAAAACCACCAAAATAGATACAAAATATCCCTCAAGACAGCCCCTCGAACACTTTTTGGAGTTACTGCAAAAGAAGAAATAAAAATTATTTGTGATTTGTCTCATTTTTTGTGATTCAATTGACTTTCCATGATTGTTCGCAATGTTACCATATACTCTTCTTCTTTTTTAATTGCTAAATAGTAATTGTTTATTCTAAAAAAAGCGAAGAAAATGATGAGTAAAAGCAACTAACTTATTAGATGCATAGATAATAATACATGTTATACATATTTAAATTAATTAATAAACGAGTTATCGATTATTCTATGGAGACGATTCATTATCTATCTTATCATTTCGGATATATGCTACATGCTAGATTTTTATTTTATTATCATTTGTGTTATTTTCATGAAAAAAATATTCATACAAATTTATTATAAGTATTTAAATATAGAAATATAATCACATGGGTATTATAGTAAATATGTAATAATATATTTTCTTACCTTCCTCTTTTTACAATTATCCAAATAAGTGAAATGTATTTTCTTTCTTTTTCTTTCCTTTTCACTCTTATCCAAATAACAAGTGAAAAATGATTTTTTTTCCTCTCTCTTTTCTTTTCTCTCACTTTCTTTCCTCCCAAGAGGAATTATCCAAACAAGGGGTAAACTCTTCAAAGCCCTCACTTTTTCCACTCTTCAGTGCACAGCCATGTCAGATAAACAAGACAGCACAAAGCCCACTTCCCAAAACAACCCTATAAATCTACAAAATAACCCTTTACCACTCTCCCCTCCATTGAATCCATTATCGAAGGAGATGGAACTAGCTAGAGCTATGTCTGCGTCTTCAAGATCACGTCTTTTTGCTTTGTCAAGGAGTGATGTTTTATATCAAGATCAGTGGCTTATTGCTGTTAATAAGCCTCGAGGTGTTTATTGTGAGACTGTTTTGGATTCTGTCCCCGAAGTTTTTGATTGCTTGTTGAGTCATCTGGACTCAGTGAAGGTGCGTAATGTTGTTTGTTTCTTGCATTTTTGTGGGGTGGGTTTTTGTTGAAATTTGAAAACATTGCTTGCCTGAGCTGACAAGGTACATTAGTCCAGAGTCCAAGTGGACTCTGTGAAGTTTGCTTCACATTAAGCTGCTTTGCTTCGCTTCATTGATAGTTGTTTAAATGTGAATTTTTCTGAAGTGAATTTGGTTAATGAAGGCTTCAGTTAGCATCCCAATGGAGTTCTTTCAATTGCTAGGCCTGCAATGATATGGGGATAATGAAATTATCTTGACTAGTTAAGCTGACTGTTAGGAAAGAAAAAATTGTTCCTTGTTGTCTATTTTGTAGTACCTTTTTTTAAAAAAAAAAAAAAATTGAGCTGCTTTTAATTACTTGATAAAGTTTGAACCTTTATGAATCCCATCAATCACAAGCTGTAAATTAGATTATGAATTAAGTAGGAGTTTTGGTCACAAGGATTTTTAGCTACATAACAGATAGAAGAAAAGGGTTAGACAATGGAATAAAATCTGTAGAGCCATCGACCATCCGTGAACTATCCTTTCACGTAACATGGCTACCAATGGGCTTGCGACCAACTGCGTGATTATTCAACACATTGGGCCCAAACTAGTTGGGCATGAGTTCAGACTACAGAGTGGGTCTGTCCATAATTTCAATAATTGGTTGTTTTGATCTTGATGTATTAATAGTACAAACCAAATGTTGCAAAAAAATTAATTTTTAATTTTTTTTTCAATGTCCAGCCAGAATTCTATATATATATATATATATATATATATATGCCTAAGTAATCTAAATTCAAAATGATCAAGCAATGTATATTGTTATCACTTTCACCAGGACGGATTTTCCACGATGTTGCTCCTAAAGAATTGTCTCCTCTATCTATAGGATGCTACTAAAGGGAGACTTGCTTGATTAGTTTAGCTTTGACTATTAGTGCTTTAAGGATTCAAAATGATTTAGCATTCTTAGGATCATGATTTAAAAAGTAAAGACATTTAAGCCATAAACTAAAGGAAATAGCTTTGACTAGCATTATTATTGATATTTTCTTTGACATTTGACAATTCAACACGTGACTGAGAAATTACGATGATGCCATGTATTAAAGACCAAGTCAATGTGGAAAGTTGTAGGAGAGAGGTGATGGCAACAATATGATCAGAGAGAGGCATTCTCATGGTTGCTGGATTCGCAAAGGGGATTTCTTGTTTTCTTTCCCTCCTCCTCTGATCCATACTCGATAACATTTCTTATACACTTAATCTGCAAATTGGAGAGTTGTGTGTTATGACAAAGCCGAGTTTATTGCTCTTTGTATTATTTTTACTATTCGTTTCCTGCAGGACTAGCTTCTCCATTGGAGGGGATACCCTTTTGGTTGGCCAATCTCTCTCTGCAAGCCTGACACTAATATCTCAAGGCAGCATTTTTGAACTAGGTTTCTTCAAGCCTGGTTCTTCTTCAAACATTTACCTTGGAATATGGTACAAGAACTTCGCAGATAAGTTAATTGTTTGGGTAGCAAACAGGGAGAGCCCTCTAAACGACCCAGCTTCGTTGAAGCTTGAATTATCACCTGATGGTAATCTTGCCCTACTTACAAATTTCACCAAAACAGTTTGGTCAGCAGCTCCTACATCTTCAATGCCGAATAGTACTGCAGAAGCAGTACTTCTTGATAGTGGGAACTTTGTCATAAGAGATGGCTCAAATCCATCTACCATATTTTGGCAGAGTTTTGATTATCCAACCGATACATGGCTACCTGGTGGAAAGCTTGGGATCAACAAGCACACTGGGCAAGTGCAGCGGCTAATTTCATGGAAAAACTCAGAAGACCCTGCACCAGGTATGTTCTCGGTTGGGCACGACCCAAAAGGAAGTAGTCAGTTTCTCATAGAGTGGAGCAGGTCACATACTTATTGGACCAGTGGGGTTTGGAATGGAGGAAGATTTTCTGAGATTCCTGAGATGAGATTGAACTATATATTCAATTTTAGTTACGTATCGAATGAAAATGAAAGCTATTTCACCTATTCTGTATACAATGCTTCAATACTTTCAAGATTAGTGATTGATATTTCAGGACAGGCCAAACAACTCACTTGGTTGGCTGGTGTTTGGGATTGGGCTCGATTTTGGTCGCAACCAAGAGACGAAGCTAATGTTTATGGTTTATGCGGGGCTTTTGGAGTCTTTAATGGAAATTCATCAAGCCCTTGTGAATGCCTGAAAGGTTTCGAATCACTTGTAAAAAATGATTGGTCAAGCGGTTGTGTTAGGAGATCTCCTTTGCAGTGTCAAAATAGGGAAGGTGGTGCAAAGAAAGATGGGTTCCTAAAGATGTCAAATCTGACATTACCTGCAAATTCAAAAGCATATCAGGAAGCAAGTGATGCAAGATGTAGACTGGATTGCATGGGAAACTGTTCTTGCGTGGCTTATGCATATAATAATAGTGGGTGTTTTTTATGGGAAGGAGCTCTTATTAACTTACAACAGGCAGGGATTGCTGGTGGTGGCAGGACTGGAGGAGATATTTACACCAGACTTTCTGCTTCTGAGCTTGAACTGATTGGTAGTGGTAGTCCCCGAATAGGTATGGCAAAAGGCTGTATCTATATAGCAACACATGATCCAATAACTCGAAGAGATATTTAGACCAAAAAAAAAAAAACTCCATATATATATAGTTTGTCTTTATATACATAATATATATATTTGTTTGTTTTATAATGGAGAGGTTCGAACTCAAAATCTCTCAGGGGAGAGGGGATATTAGTGCCAATTGAGCTACAGCTCATTGGCAACTTCTAAATGTTTTATTGTAGATTTGTTGGTTATGATTTGGCTAACAATATTATTTGCTCTATATACAAATAGGTACTAACAAAGGGACTAAAAAAAGGAGAATACGGGCAATCTTGGCAGTGGCGATTCCAGTAACTGTGATTGCTTTAGGCATCTTCATCTACTTCGGCTGTCTACGCAAGCGAGAGCTAATACGCAAAGGTAATTCCTGGTTCTGGCTGTAATTTCTGTCACTCCACCGTCTATGTTATCGGCGGTGAAAAGTAAGAAAAGGAAGATAATGCAGATGATAAGATTTATTTTGTTGATTTTTCAGAATCGCTGGATTATTCAGCGAAGTTTTTTTTTTTTTTCGAAACAGGGGAGGAACATACAAGTCATAATTTATTGTTTTTTGATTTTGATACCAATCCTAACTCAACTAACAATGAATCTAACTCTACTGACAATGGGAAGAAAAGAGAGAATAAAAATATGGAATTGCCACTATTTAGTTACGAGAGTGTATCAGCTGCAACTGGACAATTCTCAGATAAGCTTGGAGAGGGAGGCTTTGGACCTGTTTATAGGGTAAGTCGTGTTCAGATAAGAAATACTGATTACTGATCTAATCATTTCGGATAAATTTTGAAATATTTTATTGAGAGTTTTAAACTATTTAAATGAAATTTCTGAAGGATTTTTGGTTTATTAGGGTAAATTACTCAAAGGACTAGAAATAGCAGTGAAGAGGCTTTCAGAAAGATCTGGACAGGGACTTGAGGAGTTCAAAAATGAGACACTACTAATCGCCAAACTCCAGCACCGGAATCTTGTCAGGCTTTTGGGTTGCTGTATTGAACGGGGTGAGAAAATGCTAATCTACGAGTACATGCCAAATAAAAGCTTGGATTTCTTTCTATTTGGTGAGCTTTGTCTTGCATTTCTTTTGTGGTCTTTTACATGATCATTTGTTATTTCATTAATTTTTCAAATGATTAAAGAAATTTATGTCTGATTTATGCATAACTATAAACAGATGCGAACAAAAGACAAATCTTAGATTGGGATACACGGATTCAAATAATACAAGGAATCGCTCAAGGCCTTCTATATCTACATATATACTCGAGGTTACGAATTATTCACAGGGATTTAAAACCTAGCAACATTCTATTAGATAGTGAAATGAATCCCAAAATATCCGATTTTGGGTTGGCTCGAAGTTTTGGAGGTAATGAAACTCAAGCGAACACCAAAAGGATTGTTGGAACATAGTAAGTTTCTAAAAAATTGCTCAATATTTAAATTCTATTTTCCAATACAAACTACCTTTAATATAATTTGTACTGACTTTCGCAAATGTTAGTGGCTATATGTCCCCTGAATATGCTATGGAGGGTCGTTTCTCAATAAAATCCGATGTGTTTAGCTTCGGGGTGTTGTTACTTGAGATTGTGAGCAGCAGGAAAAACACTAGTTTCTATCACAGCAACTCACTCAATCTTCTCAGTCATGTATGTGGGGAGCTTTCACATATCCTCATTTGGTTTTCTTTCAGCTTCAATTGTATTTGATCCCTTCCTAGTCTTCACACTAATGATGCAACATCTACGTTGTTAATACCACAGGCATGGAAGCTATGGAATTCTGATAAAGCCTTGGACTTGATGGATCCAACGCTGGGAGATCCTCCTTCAACTTCTATGCTGCTGAGATACATAAATACAGGGCTTCTTTGTGTCCAAGAAAGTCCTGATGATCGCCCGACAATGTCTGATGTTATCTCCATGATTGTAAATGAACACGTACCTCTCCCAGAACCTAAGCAACCTGCTTTTGTTGTAGGCAGAAACGTGAAAGAAACAGGGCCATTGATGAGTTATGCGGAAATACCTTCCGTGAATAAGGTGACAATAACAGCCATAGATGCCAGATAATTGTTATCGGCCTCAAGATATCATTGGATTTACAATGATAAACTACTAGGCCTAAACTACATGTGTAGAATGGTCTAATTTTACTCCTATAATTATTTGTAAGCAAGCACCACCTGTGCGATTTGACCATATATCGGTATTTTTCGTGTATCAATATATTTTTGCACGGGAGACGGAACTAGCTATAAATATTCACAAGATAGCACAAACTCCACTTCCCCAAATACCCCTATAAATCCCCAAAATTACCCTATACCACTCTGCCCTGCATTCAATCCACTATCAAAGGATATGGAAGTAGCTAGATCTATGTCTGCCTCTTCAAGATAGAGTCTTTTTGCTTTGTCAAGAAGTGTCGTTGTATACCAAGATCAGTGATTTATTACTGTTAATAAGCCTCAAGGTGTTTATTGTGAGACTGTGTTGGACTCTGTCCGTGAAGCTCTTGATTGCCTGGTTGTGTCATCTGTGTTGGACTCTGAAATGGGAAAAGATCACCCTTAAATCAGGTCATGGTCGATCAAATTCTGCGGCCTTAGCGTGTAAGCAGCATCAGCTGTGGGCTGGTCATTGCCAGGTGGGTCCACAGTTAAGGACCTGGAAATTTGATTTGAAGTACTGTCAACTATTTCGACTAAGAACATGTTTCGTTTGTGTGGGTTTAATTGTTGCTTAGTTTGATTGCTTCAGTATCCTGAGAACAAAAGTTATTCGATTTCGATTGTTGCTTAATCTTCAAATTTCCTGTGTTACCATGCATATATATATATACACTACCTAACTCACACACAAACAAATAGCAAAAACCTTAGCAAACCTTAAGAAAAATGAAAAACAATTGAAACAGAGAGAAAAGGCAAAAATGAGACATTGATGGAGCAACCACATTCTAGCCACCATCGTAGCCATGCGTCGGACCACCGTGATCAGGCTGACGAGAGCTAGCCAGTGCCACCAGAGCAACTCCTTTTATATGTTTCATGATGCTTTTGTTTGTTTATTCTCTACTATTGTTTCTTATGTGATTAATGCAAAATTTGAATGATTTATTAAATTTAAACTAATTAAGTTGAACTTAATTAAAAGCCGATTGAATTCGAGTTTCTTGATTTTATTTGACATATTTAAAAGGTTTTGAGTTTGGTTTATGTGATCTTTGTGTGTCTAAATTTGGTACGAATTGGATTTGATGGATATAACATTTAGGATTTATAGTTATTTTTTATTTTTACTATTGTTATTTTTAATAATAAGGGACTAAGGGTGATTATTAGCTAGTGTTTTAAATAAATCAATACGCCAAAAATGTTGTGGAAGCTAGTTGTTTAATTTTTGTATGATCATCTCTATATGATTTATGGTCTTTGTAAGTACGTCTGATTTGCTTATGTTTTACATATGATAAGATTATTTGATGAAATGTCGGATAGGTATAGGACCTAAGATCAATTTGGTTCAAAACACAAGCTTTTTTTTCCTTATTATTATTTTTTATTATCATTATTAGTTTTATTTTGCTAGTGCATATTTAATTAGTTCTAAATTTGATATTAGTTTTTTACTCTAGTTTTTTTTTTTTTAAATGGCATGGCCAGTTGATATGGACTCAAGACCCATGTTCTTATTATTTACAGTTTGGCTAATTGTTTTATTTTTAATTATATATTTTTGTTGGGGTTTGAGTTATTTAACTGACAAATGAGATTTAATTACCGAGTTTTATTTTTTCAATTGAACTCCAATGGCCTAATGATATTCTAAATGCTTTTTCAATCATCAAGCCATCTCATATCATATTAAAAATATCTAATAATGAACTTAAAATTCAAGATAGAAAAATTAACATAAAATAAACTTGAATACATGAATTTTTATAAGTTAGAAAGATGAGATAACTTCTTTGTGAAAGTACACCATGTTGAATGTGGTTTTTTTTTTTTTTTTTTTCAATTGTGTAACTAGTTTTCTTATTTATAATTCTTCGTATTAGTATCGTGTTTTTTTTTTTTTTCAAAAAAAAAGTTATCTTTAAGAAAATTGCTGTATCTTCTACGATTGGCTAGACATGTTCGTGTGACAAACGCAAAGCGTCTAGGTATCCAAAGAAGTCCAACTGATGGGCCTATTGCGTATGATGTTGTTGACTTCTTGTTGCTATTATTCTGATGCACATGCATGCACCTCCCCGGTACCCAGACAGCGTGTTTTTGATGTAGCATGCCCTTTTAATAAATTAGTCACTTTTTTTTAATAAATAAATTAATTAATTTTTTAAAAAATTAATTTTTAAATTTTTTATGTTTTAATTACGTTAATAATTTGATTTTTTTATCTGTTTTTTATTATATTATTGATTTTTTAAAATTATTATTTTTTATTAAAGAGAGAGAGAGCTAGTGAAGCATAGAAATAAAACATTAAACGAAAGATAATTTTAAAAAAAATCATTAATTTAATAAAAAATATTACGAAAGAATTAAGTTATAAACATAATTAAAAATTAAAAGACTAAATAATTAGTTTTTAAAATAAAAAAATTTATTTATTTATTTATTTTAAAAAAAAACTAATTTATAATTTACTCAATGTTGTCACGTGATTGTAAATCAACATGCAGCTCTCCCAGCACCTAACAAGGCGCTTTTGCTATTGCATGTACTTCTAATAATTTAGCCGGTACAAACGAATATATATATATATACACACGAAATTTTTATATTCCAAAGTTTTTGTTTTAAGAAAAAATCTATATTTTTCTTTCTTTAAATCATTATTATTGATATATTCACTGATAATTTACAATCCAACGCACATGCATCACATGATCGAGAAATTACGATGCCACATAGCTGCAAAACAGAGGACGCGTGATGGTAAAGTCCAACTCAACGTGGAAAATCATAGGAAAAGAGCTGACAACAGCTATCGTAGTTCTAAATAATCACAGTTATATATAACTGATTTGGTCGTGTCTCTTATCGTTATGCATTGTTATGAAAACTATAATGATATTTTACGTAAATAATAACATTACATGTCATTATGGTCGTTACTTAAAAAAATATTGATTTTTTTGTATTTCATTATTACTAAATTACCGCCGTTTGTACAACGTCTCTGATTTCAAACCATATGACCGTGGGGAGCGTTCTCATAGTTGCTGGATATGCAGAGGGGATTTCATGTTTTCTTTTGCTCTTTCTCTGATTCATAATCGGTAACATTTCTTGTCCCCTTAATCCACACGTTAGAGAGACGTGTGTTATGACAAAGCCGAGTTTCTTGCTCTTTGTATTGTTGTTGCTATTCGTTTCCTACATGACTAGCGTCTCCATTGGAGGTGATATCCTGTTGGTTGGCCAATCTCTATCTGCAAGCCAGACACTAATATCTCAAGGCAGCATTTTTGAACTAGGTTTTTTCAAACCAGGTTCTTCTTCAAACATTTACCTCCGAATATGGTTTAAGGACTTCGCAGATAAGAAAATTGTTTGGGTAGCAAACAGGGAGAGCCCTTTAAAGGACCCAGCTTCGTTGAAGCTTGAATTATCACCGGACGGTAATCTTGTCCTGCTTACAAATTTCACCAAAACGATTTGGTCAACAGCTCCTACATCTTCAATGCAGGCTAGTACTGCAGAAGCAGTGCTTCTTGATAATGGAAACTTTGCCATAAGAGATGGCTCAAATCCACCTACCATCTATTGGCAGAGTTTTGATTATCCAACCAATATATGGCTACCTGGTGCAAAGCTTGGGTTCAACAAGCGCACTGGGCAAGTGCAGCGGATTATTTCGTGGAAAAACTCAGAAGATCCTGCACCAGGTATCTTCTCCGCTGGGCTGGACCCAAATGGAAGTAGTCAGATTCTCATAGAGTCCAGGTCACATAGGTATTGGAGCACCGGAGTTTGGAATGGAAAAAATTTTTCTTTGGTTCCTGAGATGAGATCAAACAATTTATTTAATTTTAGTTATGTATCGAATGAAAATGAAAGCTTTTTCATCTATTCTCTTAACAATGCTTCGGTACTTTCAAGATTAGTGATTGATATTTCAGGACAGATCAAACAACACCTTTGGTTGCCTGGTGTTTGGAATTGGTATCTGTTTTGGCTCCAACCAATAGACCAAGCTAATGTTTATGGTTTATGCGGGGCTTTTGGAGTCTTTAATGGAAATTCATCAAGCCCTTGTGAATGCCTGAAAGGTTTTGAATCATTTGTACAAAATGATTGGTCAAGCGGTTGTGTTAGGAAATCTCCTTTGCAGTGTCAAAATAGGGAAGGTATTGCTACGAAAGATCGATTCCTAAAGATGTCAAATCTGACATTACCAGCAAATACAAAAGCATATCAGGAAGCAAGTGATGCAAAATGTAGATTGAATTGCATGGAAAACTGTTCTTGCGTGGCTTATGCGTATAATAATAGTGGGTGTTTTTTATGGGAAGGAGCTCTTATTAACTTACAGCAGGCAGGGATTGCTGGTGGTGGCAGGACTGGAGCAGATATTTACATCAGACTTTCTGCTTCTGAGCTTCAACATCAGATTGGTAGTGGTAGTCCCCTAATAGGTATGGTAAAAGGTTGTATTTATATAGCTACATTCAAACTTCTGAATCCTTTTATTGTACATTTGTTGGTTATGATTTGGCTAACAATATTATTTGCTCTATGTACAAACAGGTACTAGAAAAAGGGTAATCTTGGCAGTGGTTATTCCAATAACTGTGATTGCTTTAGGCCTCTTCATATACTTCAGCTGTCTGCGCAAGGGAGAGCTCATACGCCAAGGTACATCCTGGTTCTTGCTGTAATTTCGGTTACTCCAATGTCTACTGGTAGACTTCACTCTAAGAATCGAAGTTACTGGTAATGAAAAGTAAGAAAGGGATGATAAGGTTAGGTATGTAGATGATAAGATGTATTTTGTTGAGTTGTTTAGACATTTCTCCGAAATTCAGTATACTTTCTTATTCATGGAAACAAATTATGTAGCACTTATAATACCTTTTAACGTCCTAATTTTTGGTTATGCTAACCTGAAGTTGTTACGTACATTTTTGCTTGATTTATCAGAATCTTTGGCCTTTTCAGCAGAATTTTTTTTTTCCAAACAGGGGAGGAGCATACAAGTGACAATTTACTGTTTTTTGATTTCGATACCAATCCTAACTCAACTAAAAATGAATCTAACTCTGTTGACAATCGGAAGAAAAGAGGGAATAAAAATATGGAATTGCCATTATTTAGTTATGAGAGCGTACTAGCTGCAACTGGACAATTCTCAGATAAGCCTGGAGAGGGAGGCTTCGGACCTGTGTATAAGGTAAGTTATGTTCAAACAAGAAATTTTGATTACTGATCTAACCTTTTTAGATAAATTTTGAAATTTGTTCTACTTATTATAAGCTATTTAAATGAAAAATCTGAAGGATTTTTTGTTCATTAGGGTAAATTACTTCAAGGACTAGAAATAGCAGTAAAGAGGCTTTCAGAAAGATCTGAGCAAGGACTTGAGGAGTTCAGAAATGAGACGATGCTAATAGCCCAACTCCAACACCGAAATCTTGTCCGGCTTTTGGGTTGCTGTATTGAACGGGGTGAGAAAATGCTAGTCTATGAGTATATGCCAAATAAAAGCTTGGACTTCTTTCTATTTGGTGAGTTTTGTCTTGCATTTCTTTTGTCGTTTTTTACATGATCATTTGTGATTTCATTAATTTTTCAAATGATTAAAGAAATTTATATCTGATTTGTGCATAACTATTAACAGATGCAAACAAAAGACAAATATTAGATTGGGGTACACGAATTCAAATAATACAAGGAATCGCTCAAGGCCTTCTGTATCTACATACATACTCGAGGTTACGAATTATTCACAGGGATTTAAAACCTAGCAACATTCTATTAGATAGTGAAATGAATCCCAAAATATCTGATTTTGGGTTGGTTCGGAGTTTTGGAGGCAATGAAACTCAAGCAAACACCAAAGGATTGTTGGAACATAGTAAGTTTCTAAAAAGTTACTCAATATTTCAATTCTATTTTCCAATACAAACTAACTTTAACATAATTTGCATTGACTTTTGCAAATGTTAGTGGCTATATGTCCCCTGAATATGCTATGGAGGGTCGTTTTTCAATAAAATCTGATGTGTTTAGCTTCGGAGTGTTGTTACTTGAGATTGTGAGCAGCAGGAAAAACACTAGTTTCTACCATAGCAGCTCACTCAATCTTCTTAGTCATGTACGTGGGGAGCTTTCACATATCCTCATTTTGTTTTCTTCCGGCTTCAATTGTATTTGATCCCTTCCTAGTCTTCACACTAATGATGCAACATTTATGTTGTTATACCACAGGCATGGAAGCTATGGAATTCTGATAAAGCTTTGGACTTGATGGATCCAATTCTGGGAGATCCTCCTTCAACTTCTATGCTGTTGAGTTACATAAACACAGGGCTTCTTTGTGTCCAAGAAAGTCCTATTGATCGGCCTACAATGTCTGATGTTATCTTCATGATTGTAAATGAACACGTACCTCTCTCAAAACCTAAGCAACCTGCTTTTGTTGTAGGCGGAAACATGGGAGAACCGAGGCCATTGGTGAGCTGTTCAGGAATACCTTCCGTGAATGATGTGACAATAACAACGATGGATGCTAGATAATTGTTATTTGTCTCAAGATATCATTGGATTTATAATGATAAACTACTAGGCCTAACCTACATGTTAGAATGGTCTTGTTTTAATTCTATAATTATTTGTAAGCAAGCACCTCTTGTGCGATTTGACAATATATATGTATTTTTCATGTATCAGTATATTTTTGCACAAGAGATGGAACTAGCTATAAATCTTCACAAGGCAGCACGAACCCCACTTCCAAAAATACCCCTATAAATCTCCAAAATTACCGTATACCACTCTGCCCTTGCATTCAATCCACTATCAAAGGATATGGAACTAGCTGGAGCTATGTCTGCCTCTTCGAGATCAAGTCTTTTTGCTTTGTCAAGAAGTGATGATGTTTTATATCAAGATCAGTGATTTATTGCTGTTAATGAGCCTCAAGGTGTTTATTGTGAGACTGTTGGATTCTGTCCCCGAAGTTTTCTTTTAATGATTTTAAAGATTTTTGAATGGGAGGCACCTATTCAATGAAACTTGGGTTAGTGCATAAGTTTGAAAGGCAATTCAAGGATACATTCTGCTCTTTATATTGTTCAAGCTGCTCTGGAACCACTTCCCTCCTTCAGCTGGGACCATAGCCGGATTCTTTCAAGTGAAAAGTTATATTGTCTTTTGATCGTGGATACTGAATATTTAAACCCGAAGATGAATCGAAATAGTAAAGAACTTGGAACAAATTGGAATGTTAAAGATCGTGATACAAATGATGTGATGGTTATTACAAAGTTGCGTAAAGTAGCGTCTAAGCTTGGAAAGGCATTCACAGATCACAAGTTAAGAAAAAACATGCATCGCTTTCTGCATTGGTGCTGCTCTGAAATGGGAAACGATCACCATTAAATCAGGTCATGGTCGATCAAAATTTGGGGCCTTTCGCGTGTATGCAGCATCAGATGTGGGCCGATCGTTGCCAGTTGGGGATGTGAAATATAAGGGACTATGAGGGTGGAAAGTAAAAACATATGAAAGCCGTGAACTTCATGCGGAGACCTCGTCTTTTGAGCATCCTGATCATACTGGCCAGTCCCCAATATTTCTTAAGAATGATCGTCTTTCAAAGAATGTTATAGGTGATCATTGTGTCAAATATTTCCTAAGATGTCAAATATGATCAACTTATTAAGATGATTCGTCTTCAGAAAATATTCTAGCCTCCAAGCGCTTTGTCTTTCATAATCGGTAACATTTCTTGTCCCCTTAATCCACACATTACAGAGACGTATGTTATGACAAAATCGAGTTTCTTGCTCTTCGTATTGTTGTTGCTATTCGTTTCCTACATGACTAGCTTCTCCATTGGAGGTGATACCCTGTTGGTTGGCCAATCTCTATCTGCAAGCCAGACACTAATATCTCAAGGCAGCATTTTTGAACTAGGTTTTTTCAAACCAGGTTCTTCTTCAAAAATTACCTCGGAATATGGTTCTTCTTTAAGCGGTTGTGTTAGGAGATCTCCTTTGCAGTGTCAAAATAGGGAAGGTCTTGCAAAGAAAAATGGTTTCCCAAAGATGTCAAATCTGACATTACCTGCAAATTCAAAAGCATCTCAGGAAGCAAGTGATGCAAGATGTAGATTGGATTGCATGGGAAACTGTTCTTGCGTGGCTTATGCGTATAATAATAGTGGGTGTTTTTTATGGGAAGGAGCTCTTATTAACCTACAACAGGCACGGGTTGCTGCTGGTGGCAGGAAAGGAGGAGATATTTACATCAGACTTGCTGCTTCTGAGCTTGAACTGCAGATTGGTAGTGGGAGTCCCCGGATGGGTATAGTAAAAGGCTGTATCTATATAGCAACACATGATCCAATAACTCGAAGAGCTATTTCGACCAAAACTTTATATATATATAATGGAGAGGTTCGAACTCAAGATCTCTTAGGGGAGAGGGGATATTACAGCTCATTGGCTACTTCTAAGTCTTTTATTGTACATTTGTGGGTTCTGATTTGGCTTACAATATTATTTGCTCTATATACAAATAGGTACTAACAAAAGGTCGATACGGGAAATCTTGGCAGTGGTGATTCCAATAACTGTGATTGCTTTAGGCATCTTCATCCATTGCAGCTGTCTACGCAAACGAGAGCTCATACGCAAAGGTACATCCTGGTTCTTGCTGTAATTTCCGTTACTCCAGTGTCGATGTTATTGGCAGCGTAAAGAAAGAAAAGGATGATAATGCAGATGATAAGATTTATTTTGATGAGTTGTTTAGACATTTCTCTGAAATTCAGTAAATTTTCGTATTCGAGAAAGCTAATTAAGTAGCATTTAGAATACCTTTTAACGTCCTAATTTTTGGTTATGCTAACCTGAAGTTGTTATGAGCATTTTTGCTTGATTTATCAGAATCGCTGGATATTTCAGCAAAGTTTTTTTTTTTTTGGAAACAGGGGAGGAACATACAAGTCAAAATTTATTGTTTTTTGATTTCGATACCAATCCTAACTCAACTAACAATGAATCTAACTCTGATGACAATCGGAAGAAAAGAGGGAACAAAAATATGGAATTGCCATTATTTAATTATGAGAGCGTATTAGCTGCAACTGGACAATTCTCAGATAAGCTTGGAGAGGGAGGCTTAGGACCTGTATGTAAGGTAAGTTATGTTGAATAAGAAATACTGATCACTGATCTAATATTTTCAGATAAATTTTGAAATATTTTCTATGCATTAAAAACAATTGAAACAAAAATTTTGTAGGATTTTTTGTTTATAAAGGTAAAGTACTCCAGGAACTGAAAATAACAGTGAAAAAGCTTTCAGATAGATCTAGATATGAACTGGAGGAGTTAAAAAATGAGACAATACTAATCGCGAAACTCCAGCACCAGAGTCTTGTCAGTCTTTTGGGTTGCTATATTGAACAAGATGAGAAACTACTAATTTATGAGTACATGCCAAATAAAAGCTTGGACTTCTTTCTATTTGATGAGCTTTGTCTTGCATTTTTTTCTCGTTTGTTACATGATCATTTCTAATTTCATTAATTTTTCAAATGATAAAAGAAATTTATGTCCGATTTGTGTATAAACTATAAAGCAGAAGTGAACAAATGACAAATCTTAGATTGGGATACACAGATTTAGATAATACAAGGAATCGCTTAAGGCCTTCTATATCTACATACATACTCAAAGTTACGAATTATTAACAAGGAATTAAAACCTAACAACATTCTATTAGATAATGAAATGAATCCCAAAATATCCGATTTTGGAGTGGCTCGAGGTTTTGGATGCAATAATACTCAAGCGAACACCAAAAGGATTGTTAGAACATAGTAAGTTTCTAAAAAATTACTCAATATTTCAATTCTGTTTTTCAATACATGCTACTTTGAACATAATTTGCATCGACTTTTGCAAAATTTATTGGCTATATGTCCCCTGAATATGCTATGGATGGTCGTTTCTCAACAAAATCTGATGTGTTTAGTTTTGGAGTGTTATTACTCGAGATTGTGAGCAGAAGGAAGAACACTAGTTTCTATCACAGCAGCTCACTCAATCTTCTTGAACTTGTAAGTGGGGAGCTTTCACATACCCTCATTTTCTTTTCTCCCAGCTACAATTGTATTTGATCCCTTCCTAGTCTTCACACTAATGATGCAATTTGTGTTGTTATACTGCAGAGGCATGGAAGTTATGGAATTCTGATAAAGCTTTGGACTTGATGGATCCAATCTTGGGAGATCCTCCTTCAACTTCTATGCTACTGAGATACATAAACACAGGACTTCTTTGTGTCCAAGAAAGTCCTGTTGCACGGCCTACAATGTCTGATGTTATCTCCATGATTGTAAATGAACACGTACCTCTCCCAAAACCTAAGCAACCTGCTTTTGTTGTAAGCAGAAACATGGAAGAACCAGGGCCATTGATGAGCTGTACAGGAATGCCTTCCGCGAATAATGTGACAATAACAACTATGGATGCCCGATAACTGTTTTCAATACCAAGATTTCATTGGATTTATAATGATAGACTAGCTAGTGGGCCAAATCTACAAGTATAAAATAGTATACTTTTAATCCTGTAATTATTTGTAAGTAAGCACATTTCGTACAATTTTACCGTATCAATATTTTCATGTATCAATATATTTTAAGATAAATAGTTTAATTTATTTTTATATAATAGTTTGTGTTTTTAATTTGTTTTTACTTTTTTAATTACATATATTATATTTTTAAATAATATTTAAATCTTTAATATTTTATTTTGATCATTTTTTTTAATTATATATATATAGTAAAAAAAATTGACGGGTAGAAAAGATTAGAGACTATAACAATATTAGAAAATATAATAAATGTAATTAAAAAAACTCAATTTATTATATAAATATAAACTCACCTATTTACCCTATATAATTATCATTCTTTCCATTATTTTTATGGTATTGAAACATGAACAATATCAAATTCAACGCTCATAGAAATTACTTAATTCCAATCTTAAATATGTTTAAAATCAAAATTCTAAACTTTTACCGTAATTTCAATCATTTTCACTCGAATTCCTAAAATTATGATAGTATGCTACACTAAAATGAGACCAAAATAGGTTTGCCTAATGGTTTTAATCAAAACTGAAGAATCTAAAGGTGAAAATCTATTGCATGACTTTTTAACAATAGCAAAATCATAAAAAAAAATTAAAAAATAACATTTCCCCCTCTAAAATAATAACATTGGCGAAAAGGAATAATTTTTCTCTATGGATTAATTTGATGTTCTAGGGCTTAACAAAGAATAAAGTTTCAATCTTTCAGGGTTAATTACTTAATTGAAGCCCAAAAGAAGGGTCAACCCGAAAACGGTATCGTTTTATGGTGCAATAAAGCTTTAGAGCTCCCTGGTGGCACATGAAGTTTTCATCTTTTTGAACTAACAAAACAAGCACAAATGCCATTGTCTTCTTCCCCAAATCCCACTCTCTTCCTGACCTCCAAACGCTTCTCTAAACTCACCAAAACCCTCACTTTTTCCTCTCTTCGGTGCACAACGATGTCAGCCTCACAAGACAGCAAAAACCCACTTTCCAAAACACCCCAATAAATCTCCAAAATTACCCTATGCCACTCTCCCCTCCATTGAATCCATTATCGAAGGAGATGGAACTAGCTGGAGCTTTGTCTGCTGCTTCAAGATCAAGTCTTTTTGCCTTGTCAAGAAGTGATGTTTTATATCAAGATCGGTGGCTTATTGCTGTTAATAAGTCTCAAGGTGTTTATTGTGAGACTGTGTTGGACTCTTTCCATGAAGTTCTTGATTGCCTGGTTGAGTCAACTGGACTCAGTGAAGGTGTGAAATTTTGTTTGTTTTTGGCATCTTTGTGATGTGGGTTTCTGTTGAAATTTGAAAGCTTTGCTTGTCTGAGTTGACGAGGTACATCAGCCCAGAGTTTAAGGGGCCATTTAATAATTTATGTAAAAACAATAAACAAAAATATATTATATGAAATTTGCATTTTTTAAGTTTTTGGTTCTAAAAAAATCTACACTCTTTCTTTAGTGCATTATTATTGATTTTTTTTTCCTTTGAAATTTGACCATTCAACCCTCATGTCCTCACATGACTAAGAAATTACGATGCCATATAGTAAACACCAAGTCAACGTGGAAAATTATAGGGAGAGAGGTGAGAGCAACAATATTCTCATAGTTGCTGGATTCGCAAAGGGGATTTCTTGTTTTCTTTTCCTCCTCCTCTGATCCATACTCGATAACATTACTTATACCGTTAATACGCAAATTGGAGAGACGTGTGTTGTGACAATGCCGAGCTTCTTGCTCTTCGTATTGTTTTTGCTGTTCGTTTCCTACAGGACTTGCTTCTCCACTGGAGGTGATACCCTTTTGGTTGGCCAGTCTCTCTCCGTAAGGCAGACACTAATATCTCAAGGCAGCATTTTTGAACTAGGTTTCTTCAAGCCAGGTGCTTCTTCAAACCGTTACCTCGGAATATGGTATAAGAACTTCGCAGATAAGATAATTGTTTGGGTAGCAAACAGGGAGAGCCCTTTAAACGACCCAGCTTCATTGAAGCTTGAATTATCACCCGATGGTATTCTTGTCCTACTTACAAATTTCACCAAAACAGTTTGGTCAACAGCTCCTACATCTTCAATGCCGAATAGTACTGCAGAAGCAGTACTTCTTGATAATGGGAACTTTGCCATAAGAGATGGCTTAAATCCATCTACCATATATTGGCAGAGTTTTGATTATCCAACCGATACATGGCTACCTGGTGGAAAGCTTGGGATCAACAAACAAACTGGGCAAGTGCAGCGGCTTATTTCATGGAAAAACTCAGAAGATCCCGCACCAGGTATGTTCTCGATCGGGCTGGACCCAAATGATAGTCAGTTTTTCGCAGAGTGGAACAGGTCACATGGGTATTGGAGAAGTGGAACTTGGAACGGAATGGTATTTTCGTTGGTTCCTGATATGACAATGAACTATTATATCAATTATAGTTATGTATCGAATAACAATGAAAGCTATTTCATATATTCTGTTAACGAAGCTTTGGCACTTTCAAGATTCGTGATTAGTATTTCCGGACAAATCAACCAACTCAATTGGTTGGCTGGTGATCGGAATTGGTTTATGTTTTGGTCCCAACCAAGAGACCAAGCTAATGTTTATGGTTTATGCGGGGCTTTTGGTGTCTTTCGTGAAAATCCTTCAAGCCCTTGTGAATGCCTGAACGGTTTTGAATCATCTGTAAAAAATGATTGGTCAAGCGGTTGTGTTAGGAAATCTCCTTTGCAGTGTCAAAATAGGGAAGGTGGTGCAAAGGAAGATGGGTTCCTAAAGATGTCAAATCCGACATTACCAGCAAATTCAAAAGCATATCAGGAAGCAAGTGAAGCTAGATGTAGATTGGATTGCATGGGAAACTGTTCTTGCGTGGCTTATGCCTATAATAACAGTGGTTGTTTTTTATGGGATGGAGATCTTTTTAACTTACAACAGACGGGGGATGGTGGTGGCAGGACTGAAGCAGATATTTACATCAGACTTGCTGCTTCTGAGCTTGAGCTTCAGACTGGTAGTGGAAGTCCATCAACTTCTTAATCCTTTTATTGTACATTTGTTGGTTATGATTTGGCTAACAATATTATTTGCTCTGTATACAAATAGGTACTAACAAAAGGAGAATACGGGCAATCTTGGCAGTGGTTACTCCAATAACTGTGATTGCTTTAGGCCTCTTCATATACTTCAGCTATCTGCGCAAGGGAAAGCTCATATGCAAAGGTATATCCTGTTACTCCAATGTCTACTGGTAGACTTAACTCAGAGTCAAAGTTACTGTTAACAAAAAGTAAGAAAAGCATGATAAGGTTAGGTATGCAATGATAAGATTTGTTTTGTTGAGTTCTTTAGACATTTCTCTGATATTCAGTAAAGTTTCTTATTCATGAAAACTAATTAAGTTGCATTTAGAATACCTTTTAACGTCCTAATTTTTGGTTATGCTAACCTGAAGTTGTTACGTACATTTTTGCTTGATTTATCAGAATCTTTGTCCTTTTCAGCAGATTTTTTTTTTTTTTTCAAACAGGGGAGGAGCATACAAGTGACAATTTGTTGTTTTTTGATTTCGATACCAACCCTAACTCAACTACCAATGAATCTAACTCTGTTGACAATCGGAATAAAAGAGGGAATAAAAATATAGAATTGCCATTATTTAGTTATGAAAGTGTATCAGCTGCAACCGGACAATTCTCAGATAAGCTTGGAGAGGGAGGCTTCGGACCTGTTTATAAGGTAAGTTATGTTCAAATAAGAAATACTGATTACTGATCTAACCTTTTCATATAAATTTTGACGTATTTTCTACAAGCTATAAACTATTTAAATAATTTTTGGTTCATTAGGGTAAATTACTCAAGGGACTGGAAATAGCAGTGAAGAGGCTTTCAGAAAGATCTGGGCAGGGGCTTCAGGAGTTCAGGAATGAAACAATACTAATTGCCAAACTCCAGCACCGGAATCTTGTCAGGCTTTTGGGTTGTTGTATTGAACGGGGTGAGAAAATACTAATCTATGAGTACATGCCAAATAAAAGCTTGGATTTCTTTCTATTCGGTGAGCATTGTCTTGCCCTTTTTTTCCCCTTTTTTTACATGATCATTTCTGATTTCTTTACTTTTTCAAATGCCTCAAGAAATTTTTGTCTGAATTGTGCATAAACTATAAGCAGATGCGAACAAACGACAAATTTTAGACTGGGGTACACGGATTCAGATAATACAAGGAATCGCTCAAGGCCTTCTGTATCTACATACATACTCGAGGTTACGAATTATTCACAGGGATTTAAAACCTAGCAACATTCTGTTAGATAGTGAAATGAATCCCAAAATATCTGATTTTGGGTTGGCTCGGAGTTTTGGAGGCAATGAAACTCAAGCGAACACCAACAGGATTGTTGGAACATAGTGAGTTTCTAAAAAATTACTCAGTATTTCAATTCCATTTTCCTGGTCATGCTTCTTTTAACATAATTTGAACCGACTTTTGCAAATGTTAGTGGCTACATGTCCCCAGAATATGCCATGGAGGGTCGTTTCTCGATAAAATCTGATGTGTTTAGCTTTGGAGTGTTGTTACTTGAGATTGTAAGCAGCAGGAAGAATACTAGTTTCTACCACGATGACTCGCTCAATCTTCTTGGACATGTAAGTGGGGAGCTTTCATATACCCTCCTTTTCTTTTCTTCCAGCTTCAATTATATTTGAACCCTTCCTAGTCTTCACACAAATGATGCAACATTTGCGTCATTATACCACAGGCATGGAAGTTATGGAATTCTGATGAAGCTTTGGACTTGGTGGATCCAACCCTGGGAGATCCTCCTTCAACTTCTATGCTGCTGAGATACATAAACACAGGGCTTCTTTGTGTCCAAGAAAGTCCTGCTGATCGGCCTACAATGTCTGATGTTATCTCCATGATTGCAAGTGAACACGTACCTCTCCCAGAACCCAAGCAACCTGCTTTTTTGGCGAGCAGAAACATGGAAGAACAAAGGCCATTGATGAGCTGTGCAGGAATGCCTTCCGTGAATAATGTGACAATAACAACCATAGATGCCAGATAATTGTTTTCAATACCAAGATATCATTGGATTTATAAAGATAAACTAGTCGAAATCCCCCTTTATGTGTGTGGGGGGTGATTGGAAAATTTTTTCTTCCATTCATTGAGAGGTCATGTGATGTCTTTTGAGCATGAGCAAAAATTTTTTTGATTAAAATGTCCCTTACTGAAATACTAAAAAAATATATAAAATAAAATAAAAGTTTTAAAAATAAAAAATACTTTTTTTTTCATAAAAAAATTTGTCAGTTATCAGTAAAATTTCTCTTATATTTTACTAGGATCACATCTCTCCATTGTGCTAATGGATATAATTATCATTCTTTCTATTATTTTCACTCAAATGAGTAAAATTATGATAGCATAACAAACTAAAATGAGACCAAGGTAGGTTTATTATTATTTTTTTTTATGGTTTTAATCAAAATTGAAAAATCTAAATGTGAAAATCTATTGCATGACATTTTAACAATAAAAATGAAATTTTTTTTTCCTTCGAGACTTATAAAATTTGAAAAAGGAATGGTTTTTCTCCAAGGATTTGATGTTTTAGGGTTTAAAAAAGAGTAAAGTTTCAATCTTTCAGAGCGTTCAATGAAGCCCTAAATAAGTGTCAACTACGCAAAAACGGTGTCGTTTTACAGTGCATAAAACTTAAAAGCACCCTGGGGACATAAAGTATTCATCTTTTTCAAGCAACAAAACAAACACAAATGCCCTTGTCTGCCTCCCTGAATCCCAACCTCTTCCTTACGTCCAAACCCTTCTTTAAACTCACCAAAACCCTCTCTTTTTCCACTCTTCAGTGTACAACCATGTCAGCTTCACATGACAGCACAAGCCCCACTTCCCAAAACACCCCTATAAATCTCCAAAATTACCCTATACCACTATCCCCTCCATTGAATCCATTATCGAAGGAGATGGAACTGGCTAGAGCTCTGTCTGCTTCTTCGAGATCAAGCCTTTTTCTTTGTCAAGAAGTGATGTCTTATTTCAAGATCAGTGGCTTATTGCTGTTAATAAGCCTCGAGGTGTTTATTGTGAGACTGTTTTGGATTCTATCCCTGGAGTTCTTGATTGCTTGGTTGAGTCATCTGGACTCAGTGAAGGTGTATAATGTTGTTTGTTTTCTGGCATTTTTGTCGGGTGCGTTTTTTTTAAATTTGAAAACATTGCTTGTCTAAGTTGACAAGGTACATTAGTCCAGAGTCCAAGTGGACTCGGTGAAGTTTGCTTTATTGAATTGACACATTAAGCTGCTTTTGAAATGTGATTTTTACTAAATTGAATTGGTTGATGAAGGCTTGAGTTTATAACTCAACGGAGTTCTTTCAATTGCAAGGCCTGCAATGATATGAGGATAATGAAATTATCTTGACTATAGTTAAGCTGACTGTATGGAAAGAAAAAATTGCTCCTTTTCTGTTTTGCAGTACTTTTTTTTTTTTTTTTTAAATTGAGTTGCTTTTACTTACTTGATAAAGTTTGATATGTACTTCCTAGTAAGATATAAGTATGAACCTTTATGAATCCCATCGATCACAAGCAGTAAATTGTTAGTGTAGATTATGAATGAAGTTGGATTTTTGATAAGGATGTTTAGTGTAAGAGAGAAATATTTGGTTTCGACGTCTAAGTTAGTGCATAGGTTTGATGGAAGGCATTTTTAGGAATTAGGATATATTCTGCACTCTATATGGTTGAAGCTGATCTGGTATCAGTTCTTTCTTTCAGCTGGGACTATAGCTGGATTCTTTCAAGTGGAAAGCTGTACATTCTTTGGATTAACGGATACTGAATATTTAAGCCCTGAGATGAATCAAAATAGTAAAGAGCTTGTAGCAAATTGGAATGTTAAAGAATCTTTTCAGATTAAGTCATAGAACAGACGTTATTCGTGAACATTGAACTGAGTTCAAATTTTTCAATTTCAGGTACCGTGGTGAGGCCAGAGCTCCATCTTGCCAATCGACTTGATCGTGATACAAGTGGTGTGATGGTTATTACAAAGTTGCATAAAGTAGCTTCTAAGCTTGTAAAGGCATTTACGGATCACAAAGTTAGGAAAACATACATTGCTCTCTGCATCAGTTCAGCTCCAAAATGGGAAAAGATCACCATTAAATCAGGTCATGGTCGATCAAAGTTTGGAGCCTTTCGCGTGTATGCAGCATCAGATGTGGGCCGGTCACTGCCAGGTGGGTCCACGGTTAAAGATATGGAAACTTCATTTGAAGTATTGTCAGTAAATGGACAAGGGAGCTTCAAAGAGCCATCTGAATTTAAAAATGATAACAATATTTTAGTAGTTGAAGAAAAAGCTGTGATAGATGCTGATGCAAAGAAGGATGAGATTTTGGTAAGAGCATTTCCTAGGAGTGGAAGAACACATCAAATCCGCTTGCATTGCCAGTATCTTGGAATTCCCATAAGAGGGGATGTGAAATATGAGGGTGTATGCCAGTGGCAGGGAAGAACATATGATAGCCATGAACTTCATGCAGAGAGCTTGTCTCTTGAGCATCCTGTTACTGGTCAGCCCCTAATGTTTCGTGGACCTCTGCCTCTGTGGGCAACCCAGATGGTTTAGCCATTGTAAAATTAAATGGGTTCCTCTAACTTCATTCTAGAATTTGTCTTTGGAAGACTCCTGGCTGTACATGAGTTGAGAGAACAAAATTGATGATTTTGTTGGCTAGTAAATGCAGAGATGGGATCATTTATATAGGGTTTTTTGCTCCCATATACTTGCACAGGAGTATAGGGCATTGAGAAGATATCACAGCCTTCATTTTGGTTAATTGCAATGAATTGTTTATAGGATGGGATGGTGATGCACGATGCATATGTGAGGACTTCACCATGTATAGCTAATGATGGAATTCTCCGCATCACTGGACAATATTATTTCTTGAGGAAAAACTTCTGAGAAAGCCATTTGCATCTCTTTTTGTGTCAATTATATTTGCCTTGCAATTCTTCTTCTTTTCGTACCCTGAACAGAGAAGAGGTAAGATTTGTTATCACACCAAATCGCAGCTTGTTACGATGAAAAGTCAGGAGATGACTTCAATCAGGTTCCTTCAGCCAAATCTTGATGATTCAAATTCTAAAAAGACAACAAGTTCCAATCCCTGTTCTGGTATTCCTTCTGCTTTTGTTCTCCATGGATATATGTTTACGGTGTTTGGAGTTGTGGCAATAAAATCTAGTTGGGGTGGTTTGCTTTCATTTCATAGTGTTGTATGCCGTACTTTAGTTCTAACATCTTCTTTTGGCTTCCCAGGGTGCTCTAGTCTAGCTTCAGGAGCTCTCATTAGAATTATAAAAAATTAAAAACATTTTGGCCTGTGCTATATCCACCTTATACGTGCATTTAAAGAGTAATTGATTGTAATTACGATGGATAGTTTAAAATGACTTGCAGTTTTAGACAACATTGCCAAGAAGATTGATATTATGACCATTCTTGTACTACTACCAACTGCATGCAGTACTCCAATTTTGTTATCTTTTCTTTTTATTGCAAGTTCTTGAGAAATTCAACCACACCCCAACTTGAAAAGCAGGGACATCAAGGAGGAACTGGGAAAGGATCATTGAGAAGTCAAAGGTTTTGAATCCACTTGTGGTTTCTTAATTAGGTGGTCTTAAATGCACTTTATTGCTATACTTAAATATTATTGTGACATTGACATTGTTTATTTTAGCAACTATATATGTGAATACTTTAATCCAAAAGTAGTGTTTGCCCTAATCACCAGGATTAATAAGATGTAAAATGTAAAGTCTTTGAGATGGTGGCTGAGTTAGATTTACCATGATTTTGACAGAAGGATTTCAAAATTCATCAAAGTTTTGCTTTCTTAAATGTCATAAACTGTCCAAAACTGTTTTGAATTGCAGGCCATTTGAAAATAGTTCTTCAATTTTCAATATCTAGTTGGATTCTTCTCCAATTATTTTTCATTTAAAATTGAAAAATCTTTCTATTAGCTTTTTGCCATTTATAACTTGTATACAAGTGTAGTTTTTCTACATCTAAAAATGTGTCAAAACCTGTAAATGTTTTGTTTTTTTTTGTTTTTTTTTCCTATAAAAACTTGTTTCTTCCTTTCTAAAGGTTAAGAAATTAGCAACTAAAAAATGCTTTAGGAAAAAAAAAATTATTCATAAATTTTGGTACTTTTTTAGATATTGAGAAAGTTAAAAGTTAATTATGTACATGTCAACGTATTTACATTATTAGAATTCTAATGAAAACCTAATAAACAAAAATCCTATTTCAAATAAAAAAATAGTTAAAAGAGGTACAATTTAAAATTACAAGTTGAGACTTTGATTTTTAAATGACTTAAAATTCAAAAGAGATTTGAACCATTTAACCTGTCATAAAATATTTCTTGGAGCAAAATTGGAATGAAACTTTCTTCTACTCTCTTTTTTTTTTTTTTTTTTTTTCCTTTTAATATTGGAGCACAAAGCATTTCTTTAGAATTGTTTTACTTCCATGTTTGGGGTATTTTCCCACCTGATATTTAATGTGAAATGTGGCTACAATGCTTTTCTCCTTTGAAGATTGAAGATTGGCACAGATTTCGTTCTCAAATTAGTTGGCATTGACGACATGGATTGTTCAAATTCTTAGTTACATGGGAAATTGAATACAAGAAGATTTCTTTCTGCAATCTCTTGTTTTGAATATTGTTCTTTACAGGTGTATAATATATTACACTTTCCTCCCTCAAGGGCTGTCCAGAAATCTGTATTCCTGGTTTTCAGTGGGAAGAATTTGACCATGTAGATTGTAGAACACTGAAATTGCTTAGGGTATGTCAGAACTTGGTACCTACGTAAAGAAAGCAGCGTAAGAAATTTTTTTTGAATTTTTTAAAACACATTTGACTCCTCAATAAACAATGCTTAAACATGGTGTAGAGTCTTTTTGGCATAACTTGCAATGAATTATAACTTTGGACTTTCATTCATAATTCAAAACTTATTTTTTATAAATAAAATATGACAATAATGAGTTGAATTATAAGTGTATTTACGGAAAAAAGGATGCAAAAGAACTAGAAATATAGTAAAAATCAATAAATTAAAAGTTTAAAATTATCACTTTTAATTAAAGAATTTTTTTGATTAATTTTATAAGCACCATTTCATGGCTGTAAACTAAGAATGAAAAGCCATCCTTGTGGTTATAGCTAAGGGTAAGCAAAACCGAACCAAACTAAAACTTCATAATTTGGTTCGGTTTATTCGATTTTCAGTTCATCTGTTTTGATAATTGGTTTTCGTTTTGATTTGGTTTAAAAATGGAACAACTGAAATTCTTTTTCTTTTTTCATTTTTTAATTTTAAAAAGAATTACAAAATTTTATTAAAAAAAATTAAAAATCAAAAAATTGAACGACTAAACCCAAATATTTTGATTCACATAATTTGATTGTCCATAAATTCGATTCGGTTCAGTTCGCTATTTGCAAAAACTAAACCGAACTATTATTGGCCCACCGTGTTAATACTTGTTTGCCACATTGAGGTGATTTTAAGATTACCCAAATAAAGGATTTGAATAAAATTTAAAATTGGAAAACCAACACAAATAGAAAAGGGCATTTTATTCAAGCACTAAGCTAGCCTTAATTACTAAGAATCGGGAGTAAAATTATGTCTTAATTAACAAGCCACACCTACTTTGTATTTGATTGTTCCACATGCTTGACTTTGACAATCTTTGAGCCTCTATTATATATTAATGTTATATTAGACCAAACAGAGACCCATATATATATATATCTTTCATCCTGATCTGAGATTACTTCATATGATGCTTATACCACACGTAACATCAAAGGCCTGGCTAAGTCTTATCTTGCAAAGGAGGGTACGACTGGTTTTGGGTATTATACTCAAGGTAAAAAGAAAAAAAAATTTCAGAACTTTTTTATCAAAGGAAAAAAATGGAGCCACAAGAAGTGCCTTGTTGGCATCTCATATTTATAAGATTTTAATTTTAATATTTTTCATCTTTTATTTGTAAACCCTTTTTCTTGCTTTTGGTTTTGGCTATTGAATTTTTCTTAATTGAATCTATTCAAATGGAAGGAAAAAATAAAGATGACTATTCTTTAACATTTCTTGACTACATTTACGTAAAAAAAAAAAAACAAAAAATAGAAATGCATGTCATGTTACATTTATAATTATATTCACAGACCATTTCGCTTCCCTATAAGTTATTATCTCTGAAAACCAGTTGCTGTGAACTTGGTTTCCTCAAGTAGGATTTTAAACTTCTGTTCTTTTTCTGTCCTTATCGAAACCCTTGATGAGTTACCAATCTTTATCTACAAAGTGACGAAACTGTAAAAGAGGTACTTGACAGCAGCAGCAGCAGCTAGCACATAGGATAAAACAGTACTGACAGGACTTTATACCTGTTAATCAAACCTACTAGCTAACAAAATCCAAGGTTTAGAAGAATCCCTTTTGTCTCACCTGTCAATCAAACCAACCAGTTCTCTTTCTTTTTCAGACTCCAAGGACCAATCAAGGGTTCTGAAAATATCTTTTTGGATAATGTACATTCTCTGCCTGTAGTTTTATAGGGAAGTACAAAACCAAGTTCTTGTTTTGTTGGCTTATTTGTCAGTGTAGGCAACATTGTTGAAGAAACTTCAGAGAACGGTAGTGAGTCATTTGGAGATGGGAATGCTGAGTGAAGGTCTTGTTCAGATTTTGATACCTGCTGCTGCTTTGGTTGGGATTGCTTTTGCTTTGCTTCAGTGGTATTTGGTGTCAAATGTTAAGGTTTCTGGTGATTCTAGTAATGGTTTTAGTGAGAAGCTGATTGAAGAAGAAGAAGATGGTATTGATAGCCTTGAGGTTGCTATTAAGTGTGCTGAAATCCAGAATGCTATTTCTGTTGGTAATTTCTCTCCCTCTCTCTCTTTCTCTCTGAAACGCTTGTGATTCTTGATTATATAGACTCTGTTCATCTTATATACCTAAGTCCAAAGATGTTATTTAATTTAGGATGTTGAGTTCCATTATCTCAGGCCAAAAAGGAAGGATATTTATTTAGTATTATTATTATTATTTTGTTGGTCTTGTCTGTTATGCTTTCTGGGTTTAATTTTGCTGATGCTTTTGTATGTATGTTTGTTTGTGTCTGATTCTTAGGTCATTCTGATTTTGTCTTTTATGGCGAGTTGTTTGTGGTGAAGATGATTGGTTTAATTTAGGATGATGAGCTCCATTTATAAAACAAAAATGTTCCTGTTCTTGCCTCTCTGGATTGCTTCTGTTCTGTGTTTTCTTGAATGGATCCTCACTCCCCTTCCGTTCAAACTGATCATCGAACCATATTTAAAGCAAAATTTCAAATTTCTTGAGCTCTGTGTGCTGACACTTGAATTGTAACTGGAAAGAGTATTGGTCAATCTGCAGCACGCAGGTAATGTCTGTATTTCAGCCGCAGAGGTTTGATCCACCCTCTGATGGCTTTTAGTGCTTTTGAAAAAGTACATAAATGAGTTGAAGATGCTGCTTCCGATGTTATTGCGTTGATGATGAAGCCTTTTTTGAGAATTATGATCTTTATTTGAGCTGATCTGTTTCCAGGGGCAACCTCATTCCTGTTTACTCAGTACAAGTACCTCAGTGTCTTCATGGGAGTTTTTTCTGCCATCATATTCGTCTTCCTTGGTTCAGTTAAGGGATTCAGCACCAAAAGTGAACCTTGCACATACAACGAAGGGAGTCTTTGTAAACCAGCTCTTGCTAACGCCGGCTTTAGCACCCTTGCTTTCTTGCTTGGTGCTCTTACTTCTGTCCTCTCAGGTTTCCTGGGCATGAAGATCGCAACCTATGCCAATGCCAGGACAACTCTAGAAGCAAGGAAGGGTGTAGGAAAGGCCTTTATTACAGCTTTTCGCTCGGGCGCAGTGATGGGTTTCCTTCTTGCTTCGAATGGCCTTTTGGTGCTCTATGTCTCCATCATCTTATTCAAACTTTACTACGGAGATGACTGGGAAGGACTTTATGAATCCATTACTGGTTATGGACTTGGAGGTTCATCAATGGCACTCTTTGGAAGAGTTGGAGGAGGTATATACACAAAAGCAGCTGATGTAGGAGCTGACCTTGTCGGAAAAGTTGAACGAAACATCCCTGAAGATGATCCAAGAAACCCAGCTGTAATTTCCTTGAACTCCTTTTTACACTCTCTTTAATTAACTGATTATTATGACCAAAAATTTATTCTTTGTGCTATTAATATTGAGTGGTTGCATTGATTTATGGTTTTTATACAGGTTATTGCCGATAACGTGGGTGACAACGTAGGAGACATTGCTGGGATGGGGTCTGACATATTTGGATCTTATGCTGAGGCATCCTGTGCTGCACTTTTTGTTGCATCTATATCTTCCTTTGGTATTAGCCATGACTACGCAGCCATGTCCTATCCACTGATCATAAGCTCAGTTGGAATTGTGGTTTGCCTGATAACATCACTTTTTGCTACTGATCTCTTTGAGATCAAGGATGTTAGTGAAATTGAGCCATCGTTGAAGAGGCAACTCGTTGTCTCAACCATTTTGATGACTGCTGGAATTGCCATGGTCAGCTTTTTCGCTTTGCCATCAGAATTCACTCTCTTCAATTCCGGAGCCGAGAAGGCTGTCAAGAACTGGTATGCTAACCACCAAAAGTCTATTTCCTTTTCCCCTGGAATATTTTGTTGATTGAATTACATATTACTTCAGGCACCTCTTCTTCTGTGTTGCCATTGGCTTGTGGGCTGGACTTGCGATTGGATATACAACAGAGTATTACACAAGCAATGCTTACAGGTTAGTTATCTTCTTCAAGAACCTCATCATCTAACAAGTAGCCCTTCTTTTAGTCTTGTAATCTACAGCATATAGTTGTTAGAATCATGGTTTTCAGGAAATAAAGGACCTTTTTTATGGAGCATCACCAATGTCAGTAAATAGTATAATTATTAAGAGTCTGTGGCCCCGAGATTGGCTTATAAAGTGTTTCTTCTGTTAAAAAATATTCATCAAGTGTTTCTACATGTTTCATGAATGGCCTTGCCTTAAATGCTTTGGATTTACGAGCATGTTGAATTCTGCAGTCCAGTGCAGGATGTAGCAGACTCTTGCAGGACAGGTGCTGCGACGAATGTGATTTTTGGGTTGGCTTTGGGATATAAATCTGTCATCATTCCAATATTTGCCATTGCCATCGCTATTTATGTCAGCTTTAGCCTGGCTGCCATGTATGGAATTGCTGTGGCTGCTTTGGGAATGCTCAGTACTATAGCGACCGGTCTTGCAATTGATGCTTATGGGCCCATAAGTGATAATGCTGGTGGAATTGCAGAAATGGCTGGTATGAGCCATAAGATACGTGAAAGAACGGATGCTCTAGATGCTGCTGGCAACACCACCGCTGCAATTGGCAAGGTAAGTTTACTGATCTGTTCTTTAATCGCCAAAATGTCAATGACTCTTTGATTTATTGTCCAATGTTTGAACCCTGTGTGGGCTTGTGGAGCTTCCATAAGGACTCCTGCCACCTCTTCAAGTTCTCTCAACTCACAAAAACCAACATTCTGACAGACTTCTGTTTCATGTCCCAGGGTTTTGCCATTGGATCAGCTGCTCTTGTTTCACTTGCTTTGTTCGGCGCCTTCGTCAGCAGGGCTGGCATCAATTCTGTGGACGTCTTGACCCCTAAGGTCTTCATTGGGCTGATTGTTGGGGCTATGCTTCCATACTGGTTCTCTGCCATGACAATGAAGAGCGTGGGAAGTGCAGCACTCAAAATGGTCGAAGAGGTTCGTCAACAATTCAATACTATTCCAGGGCTCATTGAAGGTACAGGCAAACCAGACTACGCGAAATGTGTCAAAATTTCAACTGATGCCTCCCTCAGGGAGATGATCCCACCTGGTGCTTTGGTTATGCTTACACCACTCGTCACTGGAACCTTATTTGGAGTTGAAACTCTTGCGGGTGTTCTTGCTGGTGCACTTGTTTCTGGTGTTCAGGTGTGTCTTATTGTTCATTTCTCCCAACAGCACAATGTCACTATAGAACCACAGAAAACTTTGCTGGTGTACTTCTAAATTAAGCAGAGTTTTTTTCTTTTCTGCTTATTATAGGTTGCCATTTCGGCTTCGAACACCGGAGGGGCATGGGATAATGCCAAGAAGTACATAGAGGTAAAACTTTTCATTCTTGTAACTATTATCAGTTCGTGAAATTGTTTAGCTATTTTGTGCCTGATTCTGGTTGCAATGCGGTTTAGGCTGGTGTTTCGGAGCATGCGAAATTGCTAGGTCCAAAGGGTTCGGATGCACATAAAGCTGCTGTCATTGGCGACACAATTGGAGATCCCCTCAAGGACACTTCAGGTCCATCACTTAACATCCTGATAAAGCTTATGGCAGTTGAGTCACTGGTGTTTGCTCCATTCTTCGCTGCTCATGGAGGTTTGCTCTTCAAGTTTCTCTAAAATGATCGAATCCATTAAGCGATCGGGTCAGCTAAGGTGGTAGTTTCCGAAATGTAAAGGAGGAAAATATATGAGAAGGCTTTGCTACTCCTATAATTGACAATTTTACTATGAATAAACAAGTTTTGCATGTTCATTTCTTGTTTTATATGTAGATTTCTTGTCATACTTGCTAAACTATTTTATACATATAGTGTCTTCACCCTATGTAGAATTATAGCGGGTTTGAACATTTTCACCTTAAAATCATTTGTACAAATCATATTTATTTTCCATAAAATCTTCAATAATGAACGTCGAAAGTTGTCCATGAAGAAGATGAGTACTACTAGCTTATCAAATTAAGAGTTTGATTCTTTTTTGGCTACGAGCTCCCGGTATCCGTAAACCACATTGGGCCCCGACTAATCCGGATTCGAGCCGAGAGGTCCCACAAGGGGGTAAAGCTATCCCAACATTAGCAGTTCCATCCACAAGGCTCGAGCCCAAGACCTTGCTTAAGGGAGAACGAGCACCAACCCTATTCGTGAATTTAAATATTTCGACTTTTAAAATCGACTATAAATTAGGTCTAATCTAGTGTTGATTGATAACAAAACTGTTTCGAGAATACCTCATCAACCGTAGATATATACATAAAAGGAAGGAATGTCAAGAAAGCAACCGTCATTTGCATTATTATGACCTAAATTTTCATTATGGTTTTGTAACAACAAGTTGTTCATCGGGGTCGGCTTTATAATATATGTGATCCTAGATAAAAAAATATTTTTTTAACAATTTTTAATTATATTTTTATTTAAATCTTTATCTTGTTCTTTTAGTATTTAAGATTTAATATTAGTAACAAATCTATCAAGTGCATCTTTTTGGGATTGAATTAGTTTTTCTACTTTTTTTTTCTTACCTTTTTCATGTCTAGATTAAAAAAAATAAAATATTATATGATTTATGTACATAATTTTATTTACATAAATTAAAAAATTACCTTCGATTCTTACGCCAAACTAATTAGAAAAGGTTTTATAAAAGATCCCCGATTGTTTGGAGAAATAAAGGAATATAATAACAAAATTTGGAGATCTAAAAATTGTTTCACTCATAAATATATTTTTTGAAACTTTTCTATAAGTATAAGTGTCTCGTTAAAATAAAAATTGAAAGCTTTTATAAGTAGAAGGTAACTGGAAAGACATCTAGGGAAAATATAATTTTTAACATTGAAATAATAATATCTTTGAACAATGAGAGTCTTTTAATGCAGAAATTTTAGTACCTATGACCTATTAATAGAGAGAAGAATGATGTCTCATACTTAGGTAGGAACTGCATCTTCTAATTTATCTTATTTTTTACGAGTGTAGATTTAGGATAAAAATTTAATTGATGCCTCCCTTTCTGCGGGGCGTAGGCATAGGCCATGCCTTCAGCCAGCACTGTTGTTGATAAAAGAGATATCAATCCAAACACATTTAATAATTCAAGGAATTTCAATCAAGACGTCAGCTTAATACTTTTGAATAGTTTTATATGATTTTACCTGGAAAAGATAATATTGGGACATGACATCAAACCTGAAACTAAATTATGGGACTAAAACTACATCCTCGTTGAACAAGGGACAGACAGTTGAGGTTTCTGTAAACTTTAATATGCAGAAAATGGAAAACTTGATCAGCAAATTTGACAGGCTTGTAATGAGACTGGCCGACGCTTTGCCTATGATACAATGAGCATTGAGTGGCTTCCAATCTAAGCATCCAATGAATCAAATAAAACAAGTGGCAAGCCCCACCATCAACTTTTAGAAAGAAATTTTATCTTATATGGTGGATTTGTTGCCTTTTTTATACCACCACCCCAGCCACACCACCCCCCCCCCCCCCCCCCAACAAAAAAGAGAAGTGTATCGCATGGCATTTGTATTAGATGCATTTTATGGTTAAAAAAAAAAAATCTCTAGCATTCCAATAAAACTCAATGTTATCTTAATAGTTTTGACAACCGCGATGTTTCCAACCTAAATTTATATATTAAGATTAAATTTATTTAAGAGTTTTAAACGACAAAATTCATCTTATTTTAGGAATAATATTTACTTTATAGAGAAATATAGATAAAAAAAACATGAGAGAGAATTTTTTTAAACAAAAATTAGGATTATATGAAAATATTTTTATCACTTTTGTTGTTTCAGATATGATTTTCTCTCGAATTTATAAAATAATATGAATATCTTAATTTATTCTAGAGAAATTATATTAACAAATGGAAGGGGACAAAAAAAAAAACTTATCTTGGCGTGCAAAAATTTGACTAAAAAACATCTCTAGCATTCCAACAAAAATCAACGTTATCTTAATAATTTTGACTATCATAATGTTTCTAACCTAAATTTATATATTAAGATTAAATTTATTTAAGAGTTTAAACGATAAAATTCATCTTAGTTTAGGAATAATATTTACTTTATAGAGAAGTATAGAAAAAAAAATTGTGAGAGATAATTTTTTTAAAACAAAAATTAAAACTATATGAAAATATTTTTATCAATTTTATCATTTCCGATCTGATCTTTTCTCGAATTTATAAAATAATTATTTTAATTATTTTGGAGAATTTTGAAATTTCTAATCTAGTTCAAACTTATGAGAAAAAATATGTATATATTTGCAACCTCTCCCGGTCACATTTAATCAATATCCAAATAGAAAGTTCTGGAGAGATTAAGGATAATAACAACTAATTCCAACTTAATCAAATTTACCAAATCCAAACGCAAAGCCAAACCCAGCCTGCTTCAAATTAAAAAGCCTTTTCTCAGTCGGCCCCACTTAATTCACCAACAACTACCTGCCACGTGCTCACCTCTAACAACTAAACAAAACTCCCAAAAACTCACAACAAATTTGCTGTTATGTACCAATCCCTCACTCCCAAGTCACTCCAATGACACTCCAAATCCTACACGTCCAATTCCGATTCGTCCAGGTCACGACTTCGGATCCACGCAGGATATTGACTAAAACGCCACTATAAATGTTCCTTCAAATTATCACTCTCTCACTGTAATCAGCTCCATTTTCAAACAAAATGGCAAACCCTAAAATTCTCTCTCTGATTCTTCTCTCTCTCTGCGCGATCGCATCTGCCAAAGTCTTCTTCGAAGAACGATTCGAAGGTATAACTATACGTATCGGCATATATTTGCGTATTCGTATGTGTAGCTCTTCTGGTTTTTTGATCTAGGTCGTTGAATTTGTCTCACATTTTGATCATTTGATTCGATCGGTGTTTGTTTTCGTGTTTAATTTATGTATTTCTCGGCGTTTATTTATACTTCTGCATTTACTTATCCGTATACGTTTAAGTGTAGGTGTAGTGGTTTTAGTGTGGTTAGTGATCTAGATTGGTTTTGATTTGACTAGTGAGGGATCGATGACTGTGTTTGAGGTGTGGATCTGGTGGTTTTGGAGTGGTAATTTGGTTAATTAAAGAGTAATTGAGGTTAAAATTGGAATAATATTATTTAGATCTGGTACTGTTTTATGGTTTTGTATAGTAGCTGACGATGACGATGATGATTGTGGTTTTATGGATTTTTTAGCTGTAAATAGAGCTAGTACTTTTGTATGATGTTGTGGTTTTTGAACCTTGAAGTGATGAAAGCAGTCATGCGATTTCTGAACTTGTTATGTGAATTGATTGTTTTTGTTATTGCCAAAGAAACGCGGAATGGTCTAACTTTACTTGTGAATGGTTAATGACTTCTTGATTTAATGTGCGGTGGATAATAGTTGGCTTGTGTTTCTTGTGTTATGTCTGAATTTGCGTGGGCATTGATTAGAGTAATGTTTGATAACTATTAATCTGGTTTTTGTGATTTTGTGTGAAATTGAAGACGGATGGGAGAACAGATGGGTTGTATCTGATTGGAAGAAAGATGAGAACACCGCTGGTGTGTGGAACTTCACAGCTGGAAAATGGAATGGAGACCCTAATGACAAAGGTAGTTTTTCAAATTCATTTGTAGTGGTATGTGCGTGGTTGAATTCTTGGGGTTTTGAAGTATTAGAGATTGGCTGATTGATTTTATCTTTTTGACATCTTAATGCAGGTATCCAAACAAGTGAAGACTATAGGTTCTATGCTATTTCAGCCGAGTTCCCTGAATTCAGCAACAAGGATAAGACACTTGTCTTCCAATTCTCCGTCAAGCATGAGCAAAAGCTTGACTGTGGTGGTGGATACATGAAGTTGGTTAGTGGTGAAGTTGACCAGAAGAAATTTGGTGGTGATACCCCATACAGGTTAGCTCCATTTATTATAATCCAGCTAGTTTTATTATTGGTTTTGTTTTAAATTGCTGATTTGGCATTTTATGGTTTGCTGCAGTATCATGTTTGGACCAGATATCTGTGGATACAGCACCAAGAAAGTTCATGCCATTCTTAACTACAATGAAACAAACCACTTGATCAAGAAGGAAGTTCCTTGTGAGACTGACCAGCTCTCTCATGTCTACACATTGATCATCCGTCCTGATGCTACATACAGTATCCTTATTGACAATGTTGAGAAGCAAACTGGCAGTTTGTACTCTGACTGGGATCTTCTCCCACCAAAGAAAATCAAGGATCCTGAGGCCAAGAAAGTAATTACTTAGCACCTTGATTGTTATATTGTTGAGTTGGTTTTTGCTTTTGGTGTCAATATAACATCTTCACTTTATGGCAGCCTGAAGATTGGGATGACAAGGAGTATATTCCCGATCCCGAAGACAAGAAGCCAGAGGTAACAGATCATTATTTTCAAACTTCAGAAATTGTCTGGAAGTGTATATCCGATGTCCCCCCATTTGTGGTTTGTGTTTTATTTATTGTTTTCTTCATTTATTTTTGCAGGGTTATGATGACATTCCTAAAGAAATTCCAGATTCTGATGCCAAAAAGGTAGTTGCTGAAGTTCCTGTGTTTGAATTAATGTGCTTTGAATCTATGATTTCTGAGGAAATTAGTTTCTGATTGAAGTGGTTTGTTATTGTAGCCTGAGGACTGGGATGATGAGGAAGATGGTGAGTGGACTGCCCCAACCATTCCCAACCCTGAGTACAAGGGCCCATGGAAGCCAAAGGTTTGTTCCTTTGTGTTTAGTTGGAACTTTTGACGTTACTTATTGATTCAGGGACCATATGTATTTATAACTCTGCTTGTTGCAGAAAATTAAGAATCCCAACTACCAGGGCAAATGGAAGGCACCATTGATTGACAACCCAGGTTTGTTTGCGGCTTTTATTCTATGCCTTTTATATGCTCCTCAAGTTCCAGTTATATGATATTGCTTAAATGTGATTGTTTCACAGATTTCAAGGATGACCCAGAACTTTATGTTTACCCAAAATTGAGATATGTTGGCATTGAATTGTGGCAGGTAATTATCTCATCATACTTATTGTCAATTTCTGATTGTTCGTACTTGCACACAGAGACTAACAACTTGGTTTTACGTCAGGTGAAATCTGGAACCTTGTTTGACAATGTCTTGGTCGCCGATGACCCTGAGTATGCAAAGCGGCTGGCTGAAGAAACATGGGGAAAGCAGAAAGATGTATGAGACCTTTTCCTATTGAAGTTAAACAATTAAAGTGGTGCCTTTTCTTGACATTGATTGACGTCATTGAATTTTGTAGGCTGAGAAGGCAGCATTTGAAGAGGCAGAGAAGAAGAGAGAGGAGGAGGTACTTTCTTGGTCTCGTATTGCATAAGAATTATGAAAGTTTTGTAATTTAAATTTCTCGTAAGGTACTGTCTTGTAGGGTTCTTGGTTGTGTTGTTAAGTGAGGCATTCGGAAAAAGTACTTTTTCTGCAGTAGAAAGTTGCTGGACAAACTGTAATTCTGTTTCTGACGTTGTACAAAACTTTCCTAATTTTTGAGTTTTGATCTTTTTCAGGAATCGAAGGAAGATCCAGCTGACTCCTCCGATGTAAGCATACAAACTGCTTGCTAAAACGTGTTTGATATTTACTTCTGTTTTTGGCGCTAATTGCACAATCCTGTTTTTTCAGGCCGAGGATGAGGACGAGGCTGATGAGGCTGAAGGAGACGATTCTGACACAGCTGAAGATGCTGATGAGAAGAATGAAGATGAAGCACATGTAGTTTTTCTTTCCTCTGACATTGTACTCTTATTTACTTGTCTGCGGACTAATCAATTTTGCATATTCACATTTGCAGGATGAGCTGTGATGAGGATGCACTTTTGCCATTAACTCAGTCTAGAGATAAAGCTTGGCTCCAAGTGCTCGTAATTTTTTCCTTCATTATTCTTAGTTGTAGGAGTTCTTTTAGGGAAAAACTAAAACGGGTTGAGAACTGCAAGCAAAACTGCGTGGCTGATTGTTTTTAATCTCTTAACTGTCCGAGCGTTGAGGAAAAAAATGAGAATTGTGTTTTCATGATCACATTATAAGGAAGTTTGAACTTTCAACGTTCCACAAATGCTTTGCTAAAATTCTTTTCATTTCTCTATTTTTTGCACTTTGCTTTAGTTTTCGTAAATCAATGTCTAGTTCAGCACATCAATGGTGTCTGAACTGCCAAATCACATGGTGGAATAAGTCTAGAATGAGCATCTGCACATTGCTGCAAATGGTGATTGGAGCCCACTGGATGTGAATGAAATAGTAGAAATGGGCTTTACTAGATTCAAATCTAGGACTAATGACCATCATCTTTGTGTAGATGCTCAACAGTCGGTCCCTTAACTGTCTGACCAATGTCAATGTTTATTAAATTATTAGGTTTGAATAATATAATAATAAAAATTATTATATTTAATGATTAAATAGATATTGGTTTTTAGCTGGTCCGTGCTTCCTGGTTATCATGTTTCCAAAGGCTGTTAGGATTGACATGTTAAAATACGCAATATATACTGCTGCTGCATCCCGAATCCCATCTAGAATCATACGGAAGCACAAAGTCCTGCACTGCCTTTGTGTTGGGGAGGATCACACAATTTTTGCTTTCAACGCAGTCTAAGCATTTTAGAAATCCCAACTAGAATCATACAGAAGCACAGAGTCCTGCACTACCTTTGTGTTGGGGAGGATCACACAATTTTTGCTCTCAACGCAAGTCTAGGCGTTTTAGAAATCCCAACAGAATGTTTCTGGCCAAGCACTGGTTAGATCATGATTAACAACTTGCAAGTTTCTGACTAACAGCCGAGTAATTTTATAATATACGAGAAGTAATTAGTAACATGTCTAGTAGTTACTTCATGGATTTACTTCAAAGAAAGAGAGAGAGAGAAACAAGAGAGATAATAAAAAAATTTGAGTATTCGTGAAAATCTTCTTATCATTTTTTATAGATATTAATATAATTTTATTAGTTTTTTATATATTTATCTCTCTTTTTAAAATAAACTCATGAAATAATTATTATATATGTCATTAGTTATTACTTGTGTATTATAAAATTTCTCTTTTTGACAGCCTATAAAAGTTAACAATTTCATTGTTCTTTCCTTGTTTCTTGCCTGAATGTTTGCTGTTATAATGTATGCACGTGTTTTCTATCATCATAATTGTAGTAAAAGTTTAAAGTTTTTAGTATCTGACTTTTTGCAGCATATTTCAGTGATTAGTACAAGACAAAAGTAGATTTTTTACACTAATCTAAGAAGATTTTGTCCACGGATTTGCCTCGCAAGGTGTTTTAAAAAGATGTACTGCTACTTTTTTACCCTATTAATTCCTTTTGCTCTCATGCCATCATGGGACCATTTATAAACCTAAGGTAATATTCACATCCATACTCTAGATTTGTATAATGTAGATCTTTACCGACCTACTTCTCAAGCTAAGGAAGCTTCCTGAATCAAAACCAACACAAGAAAGTTCCATTGGGCTCGAAGTAATGTTGGACAATAAAATTAATCCAAACAACTGGTAATTATTAAAAAAGAGAAAAAAAAATTGATTTACAAGTTCAACAAATGTATTATAATATTGTGGGTAGCTGCTGTGCTTAATTAAATAAAATAGAAGAGAATTAATGAAATCTAGAAAGCACAAGAATTTGTCTCACTCATTTACAATTGATCTGATAACCTCCAACATCTTTTTCTCTTCCAAGGGTTTAGTCAAATGGAAATCCATCCCAGCATCAAACACTCTGCTTGTTTCCTCTGACATTGCATGGGCAGTTAATGCAATGATTGGAATATGAACGCCACTATATTGTTCTTCCTCCATTCGTATCAACCTTGTTGCCTCAAATCCATTCATTAATGGCATCTGCATTTAATCCAAAAAAACAAAACCATAGAAAAACATATCCATATAACTCTTAGGTAACGTCACATAATCATACGTTACTTTCAATTAAGAGATATAAACATTCATTTACCGACAAATAAGTTTTCGGTACGTGTGATATTTTTTAGACTTATACTATCTTATAATTTTTAGCTATCACCTCATCCTTTTAAAGACTTTAATTCTTCGTATTTTGATTTGAATTTCGCATATGTTGAGAAAAATTCAATCTATTTTCTAAAAAAATTACAAAATTTTTCAAAATAAAAAATTATATATTTTTATTATTTTTTAAAAAATTAAAAATATAGAAAATTGGGAAAAACAAAAAATAACCTAGAATAGTCTTAAATTTTTTAGAGAACTGCAGATAACTCTCACTGAATGATTTTCATCATGAAACTATTTATGTAATTGTTTTTTTTTTAATATAAATAACATAAAACTGAATGATGAATTAAATGAAAAAAAAAAAAAAAAAACAATCAGAGAGGTCAAAAACACATTAAAAATTCGAGACTGATTTTCAGATAGACTAAAATTCAGAAAAAGTTTGAACTTCTTAGTCTTTTTTGAATCCTGCGAATGAAAATTGTGGGATAAAAGTTGATGAAGCCATACCTCACAGTCCATGAAAATGAAATCATAAGGGAGAGAAGTTAAATCCCCTTCCTTCTTTTGATCACTTAAAGCTTTGCAGACGTCATTGAAGGCCTCTTTTCCATTTGTGCAGACTTCAACACTTGCTCCAAGTTTTTTCAGAATAGAACTAGTTAATCTCAGCAACAACGTAGAATCTTCAACAACCAGAACCTTCTTTCCATTCAAAGGTTTGAAACCAACTTCTACATCGCCTTTATGTGCTACGATCGGCTGGGATGAGCTGCTCTGAGGCGAAGTAATGTCTAACTCGAAGATCTCCGAGGAAGTCAGATCATTCGAAAGGTTATAGTCTTCACAATGCTGCACTTCTTGAGCTGTTGTTCTCATTATGAACTTTGAGAAGTTGCAATGAGATGCACCCTTGCGTTCCGGAAGCAACGACAGGACTTGACTTAAACATGAACCATGAAGTGGTTTATGTATCAGATAATCGCCTTCTACGGTTACCCTATTGCTTGCTTCATCATTTGAATGTCCCATGATTGGATCAATTAACCAAACAACCTTACACAAAGATCTTTCAATGTCTTTCCGGAAGTTAGCCAGGATGTTTTGGAAGTTAGAGTAACTATTAGCTTCGTTGGCATCGATCACGAGCAGTGTGATGCTTGATGAACTTCTGGAGTTGGTCTTTTTGTAGTGTGGTGTAATATGATCACCTCCGTCGTTGATGTTTAGAGATCCGTCGATCGATCCTCGGTCCGAATTAGCGGATGCAGATTTGCTCAGGTAGTCATATAAAGTGTGTTCAGGTTTTCCTGAGATGAAATAAGAAAGGTCTAGCTTGCGCTTAACTCTTTCAAGCTCTAGCTGTAAATTCCTCACCTGCTTCATTGTCGTCACCTTAATGTTCAAGCTCTCTATATACTTCTTCAGAACTTTTCTTCGTTCTTCGCCAGGTATAAAGATTATGACATGCGACCCTTCTGGTTTAGGTAACATGAAAGGAAAATGCTGATGAAATGCACTCGAGCGGCGAGCTTCATCTGGTTCAGCTGATTTGGGTTCGACCGAGGAAAGAAAAACATTGAACTTGAAGCAAGTACCTCTTTCTCCAAGCTCTTTCTCAACAATCCTCAACTCTCCTTTCATCACACGTACCTAAAGCAAAAGTTTAATAAAATCAGAAAAATGAATAGTTTACTTGCATTTTAGCTTAAAATTCAACAATATAACTAAGAATCTAGCAAGCTAAAACAAGTTTTGAAGTAAAAACTATCAAGTGAAAACATGTTTCTTACCAACGATTGAACGATGCCAAGTCCCAAACCAGTACCTTCTTGTCCTATAGCTGTTTCCTTTACTTGAACATAGTCTTCAAAGATGGATTTTTGCTTGTCTTTAGGTATTCCTTTGCCTGTATCATCTACCTCAAACTCAAACTCCATCTCATTGGGAGTTTCTTCAACGGTATTAAGAGCATCAAGATCATTGAAACTATCCTTGTTGTTGTAACAAAAGCGAGAGAGAAATTTCATCACAGTTGTATGATTAGAAGCAATAATCTCTTTTTGAAAGTTTTTCTTCTTAACCACAGCACGAATCGAGACATAACCTTCTGACGTAAACTTTATTGCATTATTCACTAAGTTGCATAAGATCTGTTTAAGTTTTAATCAATCGCCTCTGACATTAGCTGATTTGAGTACAGAACCATCACAAGGATCTAGCACAATATCTATGCCTTTGTTCATTCCCAAAGGATAGAACATATCAACTACCTCCTCCAGGAGTTCGGCCAAGTTGAAATCTTCTATTTCAAGTGATGTTTTCCCAGCTTCAATTTTACTCATGTCCAGAATTGAATTCAATATGCCTGAAACGACAGTTTTTAAACAAAATATCATGAAATTTAAGATAATTTTGGACACCAAAAGGAAAGATTATCAAAAAGATAATGCTAACTAACCGAGAAGGTCCTTCGTATGATTTTCCAACTGCACCAATTGTTCTGCTAACTTAGAGTCTGGATTAGCCTCTTCCTGGCAAAAATGTATCGAAGCTCTGATAGCTGCCAAAGAGTTGCGAACGTCATGATTTGCACCAGCAAAGGCCTTAGTTTTGTTCATGCTCTTGCGCTCTGCTTGTTGAGTTGCTTCTGTCTGTTTTATTAGGGAAGCACACAGAAACATCTCGCGATTTGTTGCTCTTGCAGTTAAGAATAGGTAGATGCAGAGGGAGACAACAACAAAAATAAACACAAGGGCTAGAAGCAGCAGCGATAACATGCTGTTTCTGCGTACAAGGTGCACTAGACCATTTCTAGGATATGCCAACACATAAACCTGAAAAGAAAATCTTGAGTTAAGAATTAGACAAGATATGGAATCTGCATAGTTCATTGTTGTCAGCTCTATGCAGATGCGTGCACGAAGTGAAGCACCAATATAGGAAAATTCTGAAGAACATTTTCTGGTCTGAATTATGGTTTCAGCCTAAGGAAATTTTATCGCCATCAAAACATGTTACAAATTCTGTTCTTAAAAGACTAGACATACCGATTTAAGTCCAGCAATATCAAGGGTGGAGCAGTAAAACATGTACTTGATTCCCACTATTCTCTTATGAAGAGGTCTTAATCCGCCAACCTCTGGATCACATGAGATATTGTAGTGACCTAAAGGGTCACCATTTCGCTTCATTGTTTGCACCATAACCCTGTCGTTGTGTATCTCTATTTGACTGTTTGGAAGCTCTGTTTGCCTGATAACCTGTCCATCTGCAGTTCCCAAGTGAAAATACCCGCCATGAAAATCGAGAGCTGCGAAATGATTAGTAACCACTTCTATTGGAAACCCAAGGGATACAACACCCCTTCCATCAACGGCCACCGTGTTAAGGAATAAACTATCTCTAGCCTTGTTCCACCCAGTCTCCATTGAAGAATGCCCACTTGTGCTACTCAAGGCCTTCTGAAACCAACTTGCATTTACAGTAACCATAGGGTCAGAGGCAACTGCATCTCCATATAACATCCCAGTGTCGCGATTTACGGGTTGAGTAAACCATTGCGAGGAAAATGAAGTGTTGGAATAGATTGAAAATGTTTGATCCTTGACATTGTAGAATGAGAATAATAAACCATCAAGTCCAATATATGAAACTTGTGATAGTTCCGGAATTGTCGAAAGTGCTAGAAACAAAGTTGGTGCAACCTGAAAACAGAAACACTACCAATCAGTCACAAAAGGTTTGGTTCAGGATCAAGAACGCTACTTGTCATTCCTATCGATCCTTCTTAGCTACGCATAAAAATCACACTCCAATGCTTTGGTCACCTTATCTTGAATGGCGGCAAATGAAAGCTGAGTTCCATTCAAAGATGAACTTAAAGCTCTTGCTAAATTTGATGCTGATGAATTGAGGTGGTGCAGCAGCCCTGCAGTCATCTGAATCTCCGAAAAAGATTTGTTACGCACTCCTACAGACTCAGACATTACGCGGTTTTTGGATTGCTTAATCATCTCACACAATTCTTTGAACATGAAACTTGAAAGAGCCTGCCATGTTAATCAAGAGTGTAAGTTCTGCTATAAACTTTGAAGGATCAAAACATTGACAAAGAAGAACAAAAAGGGAAAATGGTGTGAGCTTGAGGAGGGAATTACTAGAATGATGAGAAAATAAGCAGGCCTAACAAGTGCCTTCAGCGAGCGAAACCTCACGTTGTTGAACTTCATTTTCAAAGCTAAATATTTGTGCTCTGATACCTGCATTTCAAAGCAAAATTGGAAACTACCTAATGATTTAAATAAAAAAAACATTATAAACATTAATTGCTTGTATCATCATAATGATGCCATAGCTAAATTTTTTGGCCTTAGTGGCATCGACAAGGTTTGAGCATAGAAGATAGCTCCATAAGTAGAATTCCTAATCAATGATTCTGTTTTTTAATTTTGGGTCACTCTTCCACTTGATCACTCCAGAAGGATGATTACCTGACTTCTAGTCTTGATCACAAATGAACAAGTACCATTTGAAGGTGTAGAAAAATTGAATGATTACCTGACTTCTAGTCTTGATCAAGCAAGAAAGGTAAAAGAAAATGGCAGAGTATTCTCATTGGGCCAGAAAAGAAAGAGTGTTCATGCATGATTTTTTGTTGCTGTTGCAGTCAAAGAGAAAGACTAGGAGAATCAAAAATATGAATTTTGAACATCAGGGAGTTTGTTATTTAAGATAAATGATTAAAAAAAAATCTAATTTCTTTAAATTTTTTGCTAACTATTCTCAAACCCTAAAAAAGTTTTAGGGTTTCAATCCATCCATTTATTCAAGTTGTTACTTGTTAGCTTGAAATTCGGTTTTTATTTTCATGGGTTAAAAATACTTGTTTTTAAAGTACTGAATAAAAGCTGCTCGTCTAGAGGCAGAAATGGAGGAGAAAGGTTCAAAACTAATAAAAGAATGGAAAGATTGTCCTCTATAATCTGACCCTATTCCTTCAACAGTGAGGCAAGGGAATGGAGTCCATGAATGACCATAATGCTGCCATTGCTAGCTAGCTTCTTCCATTTCCATCCTGTCGGAACCTCTTACGTTTTTTGGGCTACAGTCAGCGTGGCCTCAACCGACTCCCTTGCATGAAGATAATAAAGCCATATCAGGATTCAGATTCAGGACTCCTTCGTCAGGGGATTTCCACTTTTGAGTGTTATGTATTTTGTTGCAAATTCAATGTCTTTTCGTGAAAATTAGATTTTTATGAAAAAAAAGAAATTAAATCAAACGTATACAATAATTAATAGCATAAAATAAATCAATTGCAAAAGAATAATCACAAAAACACTAGATTTATATACAAAATTGTATCTATGGTAATGGAAAAAATCACAGAACCAATTTTAAAATAATTCATTATAATATAAAAAAAAATGCAGTCACCCCTGTAAACTTTGCAATTTTCTATGATTATAGTACTATGCGATTCTGTATAATTATAATATCTAAAAACTAGTACTAAAGAAAATCCCAATATAAAGAACCATTGCTTTTTTGACTAAAGAAATCCCCAATATAAAGAACTATTGCTTTTTTCTCTCTCTCTCTCTCTTCAATTGCTTTCTTGAAAGACTGTATAAAAAAATCTTTTTTTATATATACATGTACTAAACAAACAAAAATAATAAAACAATTTTTTTTTTAATTTCGCGACAGTACTTTTCCTATTTAATCCTTTTATTAATTTTATCTTTTTTTTTCAGATTCCTAAAGTATTTCAAACTCAAATATACAGACTAATTTCTCAGTGTTAAGTCGGGGATATAAAAAGCAAGCACAACTATCAAAAAAAGCTTTCCGTCTATGTAAAAACTCGATATCAAGACCATTTGGTTAAGCAACATTCCGTTCAAATCAACCCTATTCTAATTTCTTAATAAATTTTGGTTCTTTGACTATTTAATTCTTTTTCTATTTAACTTCTAAATAAAATATGCTAAAATCACTCGTAAATAGTTTTTTTTCCTATTTAATTCTTTTTCTATTTAATTTTTTAATAAATTATTCTAAAATCAGTCGAAAACTGACACAACAAGATATTGAAGAACTGCCAACATTACTGCAAGAGGTGTGACCAAGTATTGCAATATCTTTTACAGTTTTCAACCTGCAGGCCCAATCAGAAACAAATAGATATTCTGCCAAATCAAAGAGAGGAGACAAATAATTAAGGAATGGAATCCTTGGAACTGGATGTTGAATATATACAAATACAAAGTTTACAAATCCTTAATAAGAAACATAGTAAAAGACACACAAAGATGAACATAAGCACACATTGACATATTTTGCTCAGCTGCTCCCAGAACTTGCTTTGGGCCTCTTCACAATCAGAACTGGACACTTTACATTCTGTGCGCAATGGTTGCTCACGCTTCCAAGAAATGCCCTAAAATCCAAAAAAAAAATTATAAAATAAAAATAGATTAATTATAATAAATTAAAGAAGCTTAGCCAATTTTTTTAGTGAATTATGGAAACATCAACAGGCAAGCTAGACGAGGAAGCATAATTTTAAATCACGAACGGTTGAAAAAAGATTATAATCACTGTCACGGATCGTAATTTACTATGATATTAAGCAATTTATTATGATACTAAAATAATGATAACAAGATACTTCAAAACTGTTACATAACAATCATTATTAAAACTATGCACGATAGAAATGACGAAGATGAGCAAGCACCAACGATGAATAGCCGACCAAAATCAACTATAGCGTCAATTAGGGATGGCGGCAGGGCAAGGATGACCATCTCTGTATTCGCCCCCTACCCTGTTCGAGGTATATTTTACGTATCATCTTCGTTGTAAATGAGATAAGACCCCGTTAGATTAACATTTCTAAAAATAAAAAGATGGGATGGGACAAGAATGGTCATCCTCGTCCTCACCTCATGCCCCAGGCGTATTTCGCATATTATCTCCGTCCCAATCAGAACAAGATGAGACGGGGCTCTTTCGGAATGGATCAAATTACCATCCCGGCATCAATGGTGACTTCAAGTTGGAATGAACCGTAAACTTCGTACTTTTTTTTGATTTGTTTTGGTAATATATCAACAAACTCTGTAAGAGAATCTAAATTCAAATTAAATCAAGAAGCTTAACTATAAAATGTAAAAAAGAGAAGCTTAGAAATCAAGTTTTTTTATATATATAAATAATTACTATATTTGCTTTCATGTATTTAATAAAATTTAAGTTAAGAATTTATTCTCAGAAATTAAAAAATTTCCAAGATAAGAATCCAAGAGAGCGATCTTGGATTGAAAATATAAGATTAAAGAAAACTAAGTGGGACCAACCTCTTGATCAGACCATATCCATGGCTGCCCATCACCAGCATATCAACGTGCAACTTCTCTGCCACCTGGCAAATGGCATCCCTTGGGTCACCATGCTCTATTATTGTCTCCACCTTAACCTGGACCCACCATATGTCATCACATGCATCAGGACACAGGAACAACGAGTTACAGTACGTCTGAACCTCAAAAACTCTTAAAAAAAAAAAAAATACAACCTTTGATTCATTTGATCTTTAATTTAACTTTTTTGTGTCTGAAAAAGTAGTAAAAGGGATATAACTATATGTTTATACTCACATCTTGAACTTGTTCTCTACACATCCTCTTGGATTTCTCTATAACACAATCAGCCACATCATTACTGTACTTCTGCATAGTTGCCATGATATCAGAAGAAAACAAATATCCTGAAAAGACACAAAAAATATAAGTTTTAAACGAATCAGAACGACACAGAAGACTGAACTACCTGAATCCCTCTCAAGTCTTTAGTCCTACCTGTGCCATCAAGAGCAGTGTAGACAGTTCTAGGAGGCATAACATAGAGGAGGATTAGAGTATCTTTGGAATTGCTAGAAACCGATACATTCTTGAGACACCATGTAAGAGCATACATGCTCTCCTCACTCTCATCTACAGCTACCAGGATCTTGCGTTCTTTTGCTGCTCCTGCTTCATCAGCCATTGATTGATAGAAAGGGGGTGAAAGTAGCTTGATGATCAGACGGTTAATGATCGAATAAGGATAGACAAAGAAAGTTTGTGGAAGGCTTAGGTTTGTCGCTTGTTTTTGTTGGAAGAAGGAGAAGAGAAGTGTGTTTGTTTATTATAAGAAGACGTCAACTTTGGATTTGGGTGTAGTAGAAAACTGTTGGCGGCTCCTGGGTTCTTGTGGTTTGGGTTTTTCAAAGACAGTGGATTGTTATTTAAGAAAAAAAATTAAAAAAGTGAAATTTTGAAAAATATTATTCATTGTTTAATAAGTTTAATTTTGATAAAGAAAATTTTAATTATTTAAATAAATAGTTTCGAATTCGAATTTTTACAAATAAAAAAATTTAGATAATTATATTAAATTTATGTATTCCAGAAAATAAAGAGAGATTAGTTTAAATCTCTAGATTTTAAAGTACTTTAAAGATTAAAAAAAAAAGTTATTTTCTTTTGAATTAACGCATTTTGTTTGTGGCATTTCCCCAAATTTTAATGATAACATAGAATACTTTTTCACGTGATTTCTAAAGATACGGTGGTGATTGCTAATCGAAAGTTCAATTTTATTTTTTTGTTCTTTATGATTAGTATTAAAAAAGCTAAAGCAGTTGGTTAAAACTGCTATCTGGGCACTTTTATTTTTTTATACTATGATTCTCGATCGTGATTTGACAGAGAAAAAGAGAAGATCAGTTTAAAGATTATCAACAATAAATAAATAAAAACCTCAATTTCCTTGCCCAATAGATAAGGAGATTTTGCATGTAACGACTCCATTGAAGAGGTACTTGAGGAAGCTAGCTTGAACTTTAATCTCCATGGAGATTCCTCAAGATTAGAGAACCATAATGAACTCTCTATCTCTCTCTGTTGTTCCTTTTTCTTTTCCATTTTTCGTTCTTGTGATTGAGTGGGAAGTCCAGAATGAACTTGGAAGTTGCTTATAGGTACAACGCATGAAATTAGGGGGCGTGCATGAGACATGAAATGACCCCGTTAATTTTATAAGCTATCCATACTTATTCACCATGGCTCTAGAAATCATTTTTTTTTCTTTTAATTCTATTCGAACTATAAGAGTATGTTTAGAATAATTTTTGCATTAATCGAAATTCTTTAAACAATTTTTAAAACATACTTCTATTCTGTCTTAAACATTTAGAAAATTTTAATAAAAAGTTTGTCAAGTGGCTTTAAAATTTAAACCCAAAAAAAATAAAAAAATAAAAAAACTTCCTTAATCACTACATCAATCTCTTGAAATTTTTTTCTTTAAAGTGGCCTTTGGTAGGTTGTCCAGAATAAGAAGGAATATATAGCTATTATATCTCTTATTTGGTGCACAGTAGATTTGATTGTACCACTGTTTTGTTTTTGTTTTTGTTTTTGTTTTTGTGTTAGATAAATATTAGTTTTTTTACCTACGTTACACTACAGAGTTAGACAAATACATAAAATTATTTTTAAAAAATTATTTTATTTTGATATATCGTGTTATATTATACGTCTATCAAAATATATTAAATTAAAACGAAACAAAAATTTATTTAATTTTATAATTTTTTAATCAAAATTTTGAATTTGACTAATTATTCTTTATATTTTCATAATTTTTTATTAAAAAATATTATTTATTTATTTTTATCTACATTTTTAGTAAAAAACTTATTTTGTAAATTGTTTTTTTCTAAACATCTTTTTAACTTTAAATTTTTTATTAAAAAAATCAGAGAAAAAATAAATGACCAAAATGACTAAAATGAAAAAAAAAAGGACCAAAATAAAATTTTAAAAATTGAGGATCGAAAAAACAATATTTAAAGAAAAGAAGAACCAAAGTGTAATGTAATGAAAACTTTTATAATAAATGTTTTAAAAATATTTAAAAACTACAAATATGCCACTAAATAATGAAAGTAATAATGCATCTAAGTGTGAGTGAATAGTAAAATGAGTTTGGATGAATAGTATTTCAAATAGTACAATGAATAGGAGAAATTTTATAATATACAAAGAGTAATTAATAACATGTACGGTAGTTCCTTCATGGACCCACTTTGAGGAGAAAGATAGACATAAAAAAATAGAGAAAAACATGAGAGAAAAAAATGTTAAAAAATTGAACGAATGTAGAAATCTTCATATCATTTTTTATGGGTTTGGATGCAATTCAATGTGTCTATCTCTCTCTGTTTAAAGTATGTTCATAGAGTAACTACTGTGCATACTATTAGTTACTCCTTGTGTATTATAAATTTTTTCGGTGAATAATAAACCATGGTTTTACTTTAGTTTTTTTTTTTTTATAATGAAAGAAAGAACGACGTGCTATAAGAACAATAAAAACTTTTATACTTTCTTCTCATATATATAAATACAAGAATAACATACATACATATATATATATATATATATATATATATATCCTTTTGATTGTGTTCGAGTCATAGAATTAATTTCTGTTAAAAAATAAATCATTTTATATTATTTTGTTTGGTTATTATTTTTTAATATTTTTATAGAATTATTTGTCTAAAATAATTTATTTATTTATTTTTAAATAGTTATTTTATTTATCATTATATCTATTAACGTGTTTATTAATATATATGATTACTTTCCTGATCAATAAAATTATTATTTTATTTTTTTATTTTTAAAACCATTCTTGTCGTTTAAATTATTTTCCTAATGATTATTTTATTTTATTTTTGTAAATCAATATTTTATTTTATATATATGAAAAAAAGTAGTGCATAATTTTATATTTATAAGAAACAAGTAAGGATAGTATGAGAATAATGCTTGGATAAATTTTATTCTGTGGAGGACATAACCCATCGGTTGTTATGTTTTATATGTACATTAAACAACTTACGTAATATTTTATCTTGTCTTATCTCGTATCGTCGACTTGTATGATAAAGGAGTTGATTTTAAATGAAGGAAAAAAAAACAGCATCTTGGACTTTGTAATTAATTACCCATGTCTCTCTCTCTCTCTTTATGTTATTGAAAAAGAAAAAAAAAAGAGGCAGGCCATCATCCTGGGCTTTTAAAAATTCTTTGATGTATGTTTTGATGAGATAATATTTGATTAAAAATACATGATCTAATCTAAGGGGATACAAGATTTTTAAATCAAGTGGCGATGGGCAAAGCTCGTTAATTAACCATGGATAAATATTTTATTCGTTTCCCTGTTTTGGGTTTGTCTAAAAATTTATTAGATCATGTACCATATACTAAAAAAAAATGTTATATAGCTTTCCACAACTTCACTAAATTTTAAGCGGAGTATAGTTTTTAAAATATTCTTAATTAATATTTTGATGTTTAATAATTTCAAAATATTTTTAAAAATATAAACAAAAAATTTTAATATCATACAATAATTATTAACTTTTTTTAATGTGTATGAAAAATAAAAATAAAAACCACAATTTGCTAAATACAGACACAAGTATGTAATCACATTATTAATATGTTTTACTAAAAGAAAATCGTTTTCCTTAATTACACTGAACAACAACCATCATTTGTCAAGTGCTAATAATCATAAATCATTTAGGTTCGATTGTTGAAAATGAACAATGCCTTCGATGGAAAGTCAAAATGACTATTTGCGCGTGCAAAAAGTCTTACAAGGTGTATTATCCTTAATTCAACTTTGTTGAAAAAACTAACTTTAATGGATTATATCAGTGACGAAGGAGTTAGGTTTACTTCCTTGACTTTTAAATTTGTATTTTGAGGAAATGAAAATTTATTAAATTTTTTCTGAATTCGATCCAAAAAAAGTGTACTTAAGATCAACTGTTAAAAGAAATCAGATCTATAAATCAAAATAGATCGATGTAAAAATTGGTTTAAAATTCCTCTTAATATTAAATAAAAAAATCTCCTCTTGAAAACGATCCTTAATTCAACTTTTTTGAAAAACTAACTTTAATGGATTATACCAGTGACAAAGGAGGTAGGTTTATTTCCTTGACTTTTTTAATTGGTATTTTAAAAAAAATATTTAATTTTGTTATTAAATTCTTTCTGAATGCATGAGTTTGATCTAAAAAATGGTATTGAAAATCATTTGTTAGAGAAAATCAAACTAGATTGATGCATAAGTTTGTCGAAAATCTCTCTTAATGTTAAATAAAAAAAATCTCATCCTGAAAACTTAATAGAATGCTTTAGTTAGTTAAACAAATGGTCACAATGTTGATTTTTTATATATGTAAAAAAAACTCTTTAAATAGTTATATCTGTCTTATGTATTCGATCAAATAACGAATGATTAATGTAGATTTTTATCGAATAATGAAAGATTAGCATGAGTTTTTAGTTCTAGAAATCATAAACATAAAAAAGAATAATAAAATCCCTCTTGAAAGGCTAAATTTCATTCTAAATTCAACAACAAGACCCAGGTTTCAAAACAATTAGAGCCTCTGGTTTTTGCAATAACACCCCTCGTACAGTCAGCTAATTAGATAATTACTACCAAACTAATACACATAAGAAAAACCCACAATCCAATTTAAATCCAATCTTGGACCGTCCACTGATAAATCAACGGCCCACCTTCACCCAATGACGACAGCTGCCAAGATCCTAGCTTCTACAATTGGTCCAAACAATCCAACCCGATCCACCACCGTAAAACTAACCAAGAACTGCCACCTCTTAGCATCGAAATATTCGAGAGCAAATTATATTTTGATACCTATAGTTTTGAAAATATTACATTATGGTTCATATTTTTTTATGTTTTCTAATATTCATCCTTAAGTGTCCAAAAAGTCTCAATACGGCCCTCTTGATATGGATTAGATACGGAGTGTAATTGGAGAACTCATTTTGAATTTTTTATTTAGAAATTGAAGTTTTTTGTAATATTTTTATAAAATATTACTTGTATTAAATTTTGAAAAAGAAAGAGAGAAAGGTAAAAGGATACGATAAAAGTGGATTTTTCTCAACTAAATACTATTTTTTTGAAACAAATAAATTTTATTTACTAAGTTACTTTCTCCATGGTGCTTGATAATTGTAAGACTATTTTATTTGTTGAATTTTTTTTTCTTATAATAAAACGAGTATAGTGAAAAAAAAATATTGATTATCGCTTTAGAACATATTGCAATTAAAATGAGACTTCAAAATGCTTTCTTTTCTCTTTATCCTTTTTCTAATAATAGAATTACAAGATTTTTTTTTTTTTTTAATCAAGTGGTGGCGAGCATAGCTCGTGGGTTAACTATGGGTATATATATATATTTGCTTGTTTTAGATTTGTTTAGAAATTTATTAGATGGCTAATAATTTTAAAAAGAGTATTTTTAAAAAATATTAATATTGTACAATAATTAAAAACTTTCTTAATGTGTATGAAAAATAAAAGACCACAATTTTTTAAAAATAGAGAAAATGTATAATCACATTGAATGACAAACATCATTTGTCAAGTGCTAACAATCATAAATCATTGAGGTTGGACTAGTGAAAATAAATAATGTCTTCAATGGAACGTCAAAATGAATATTTTTGTGTTTAAAAAGTCGTACAAGGTATCATTTTTAATTCAATTTTGTTGAAAAAACTAACTTTAATGGATTATGCCGGTGATGAAGGAGGTAATTCTTTTTTTTTCTTTTTTTAGTTTGTATTTTGGAAAAAAAATATTTAGAAAAATTTATTAAATCCTACCAAATGCATCATATTTATATAAAGAACACGTTTTTAAAATCGCATGTAAAAATAAATTATATTATATTAATTTATAAATTACTCTGAAAATATATCCTAATATCAAATAAAGAATCCCTCTTGAAAAGTTAAAATTCATTCTAAATTCAACAAAAAAAAAGAAAAAAAAGATCGAGGTTCCAAAACAATTAGAGCCTCTGGTTTTGCAATGACACACCTGCCTAATCCAGCCAGCTAATTAATTAATTACTAACCATCTCCCACCAAACATATACCCATACAATCTTAGACGGTCCGCTCTTAAATCAACGGCCCACCTTCACCCAATGAAAACTGTCAAAATCCGCAATGGTCTAAACAATCTATCCCCGGTAAGCGGATCCACCAACGCAAGACCAACCAAGAACTTCCACCTAGAGTAAATTATATCTTGATTCCTATAGTTTTGTAAATATTACATTTTGGATTATATTGTTTTGTTTTTCTAATATTCATCCTCAATTGTCCAAAAAATCTCAATACAGCTCCCTTAATATTTGATTGGATTTGGAGTGTAACGGGAGAACTTATTTTTTATTTTTTATTTTTTTTATAATTCTAGGGTTGTAATATTTCTATAAATATTACATTAAATTTTGAAAAAGAAAGAAAGAAAAGCAAGGGAAGGTAAAAGAATACGATAGAAAGTGGAATTGTTGCTAACTAAATTTTTAAATTTTTGAAAAAATTAATATTTTATTTTCTAAAATTATTTTCTCCATCTATAACACTTGATAAATGTACAAATAATGTATTTATTGGTTTTTTAATTTTTTTTCTTATAACAAAATGAGTATAATGAAAAAATATGTTGATTGTCACTTTAGAACATATTGTAGTTAAAACAAGTTATCAAAATGCTTTTGTTTTTGTATTATTTACTAATAATAGCAACATTATTTTCTTTTATAATTCCATTGAACACTATTTCAACCAAATAATTTTCAGCGGTTTTTTTATTCAGCCATGGTTATTTTTTTCATCGAAAGCCTTATAGTTTACATAATTATTTACTAGAATTAATTGCTCGATTTGTTCTATATAATAAGACAATTTTTTAATTTATCATTATATCTTTAATCAAGTTAATTTATTTTTTAAATACTCTTAAAGTTTTTAATTTATCATTTTGGCAAGATTTGAATCAAAATTATCATAAGTAATCACATAATTTTCACATGATTATTTTTATTTTCAAAATGTTTTTACAAGATCAGATAAAAAAGCTTTTATGTGTAAATTATGTGACTAATTTTGATATTTTAAGCCGAAAATCTTACTTGAATTATGAATCAAGAACTTAACATATATTTAAGGATAAAATTGATTTAATTAAAAATATAAGGACATATATTGAAGAATTACTCTACAAGATAATTACAAATTTGGTCATCAACCCTGTTTACGACACACAAATCAAAACTTGTCCACATATAAATACGCACTCTCTTCAATATTTCAGCATATTCTCTCTCTAGTTTTTTTTTCTTTTCTTAATCATCAAATCAAACATTTCTAGCTTTAAAAGTTCTTTTCTTTTCAGAAAAAACAATGTTTCTGATAGATTGGTTTTATGGGGTCCTGGCATCACTTGGTTTGCGGCAAAAAGAAGCCAAGATCTTGTTTTTGGGCCTTGATAATGCTGGCAAAACCACCTTGCTTCACATGTTAAAAGACGAGGTACTTTTGGGTTTTTTTCTATATATTTTATTTATGACTGTTTTTGTTTGGTTACTGAGAAATCGCAAGGAAATTTGGAATTTTAGGCTGTTTAATTGTTTTATTTTGTCAAGTTTTTGGAGGCTTAAAACTGAAAACAAATGGGGTTTTTTTTAGAAGTTCTGAATTTTGTGTTTGTAAGTGAAATTGAAGGAAAAACAATGGAAACTCGAGGCTTAAAGATTCAAAATTTAATTGATTTTGCTAAGTTCTTGGTTAGCGAGAAATGTAAAATGAACTGGGTTTTCGTGGACTTTTGATGTTATGAAGTGAAATTGAAGAAATGAATAACTTTTGTTATGTTTATATATTTGTTTTGTTTATGGCAGAGATTGGTGCAGCATCAGCCAACACAGTACCCAACATCAGAGGAGTTAAGTATAGGGAAGATAAAGTTTAAGGCTTTTGATTTGGGTGGTCATGTGATTGCTCGTCGAGTCTGGAAAGATTACTATGCCAAGGTTGTTTATTTATTCTCTCTCATAATGTTTTGTGTAGTAGATTCTAGCATATTGGTTTTGCTTACAATGAAGTTTAGCATATTCTTTACTTACAATGTGTGGATTGGTAGTTCATTGTACCTTTTAGAGAAATGCATGGAGATTCAGGAAGTTGGAAATTGGAAGTGGTTCTACTTTTGTTAATGTTAAGGTTTGGAGTTGTGGTGTAATAGTTTAGGAATTTTGTGAAACTTGGTTAAATGGTTCAAGTAAGCGACAGTTATTGTGTTTGGTCTTTTTGGATGGCAATATGAGGGTTTTTTCCTTCCTGACTTGATTGTGTTGTCGCGATACTAAGACTACTTGGAACTTGGATGTGTTCAATAGCCAAGTGTTAACAATGTTTGAATTGGACTGCTTTTGCCTTCATAATCCCAGATAATGATGTTTTGTGATTATCTGATTCATGGGAGGCAAATACGAAATGGGAGTTCGCTGATAACACTTTTGGTCTTTGAAAGGTGTTTAACTAGTACCTCACCATACATGTTTCCTCTCCCCTTCACCTTGTTTTTTCCGGCTACTTTTACTCAGCTTTATCTTCCTTGCAAATAGAGATGAAATACAATCTGATTTCTCTTTTGCAATTTGGAATGACCGAGTTTTTATTTGTGCTAACCTGTGAATAACTTCTATATATGTTTTATATGTTTTCCGGACCACTTGTTGCCTTCCTCTCCATGTTTTTGCATTATATGTCATTATTTATTATTGATATTTGTAACTTGGGTTCTTCCTGCTATATTGTAGTGCTGAGTTTTGACATCAAAATCCTTTTCATGTGAAGGTGGATGCAGTTGTTTACCTGGTAGATGCCTATGACAAAGAGAGATTTGCCGAATCAAAAAAAGAACTAGATGCTCTCCTCTCCGATGAAGCATTAGCTAATGTCCCATTCCTTGTTTTGGGCAACAAGATCGATATTCCATATGCTGCCTCAGAAGAAGAGTTACGTTACCATCTTGGTCTTGTCAACTTCACCACCGGCAAGGGTAAGGTGAACTTGGTAGACTCAAATGTCCGTCCGGTTGAGATCTTCATGTGTAGCATTGTCCGAAAAATGGGCTATGGAGAGGGTTTCAGGTGGCTTTCTCAGTACATCTAGTAGTGAGCTACAGAAAACTAAGATCTGTTTAGTCCTCAAGTGCTAAGTCCTCAAGGTCTTTGTCGCTGTTTTACATCCTACTCTATGGTAAAACGGATGCGTGCTCACTAATATCCATGATGAAACTGAAAACTGATTGATAATTTGCGTCAGCTAGTAATGAAAAAGAGCAACACTTATTTCTTTCGGCTGCATTTTCGAAGAATAACGCATTTGTTCGATGAAATGTGACATGCAGCCACTCTGTAGATCATCCCCTTCGTCAACTAGTCGAAGTAAATATTTTGAGCGTTAAAAAGTTGTAGATAGCTGATTGATGCAGGTTCTAACCAATCGATCAATTTGCCGACCAGGGCTTGCGGATGTGATGGATCGGTGGATTAGCTTTCGGTAGTTGAGGATGACAAAGGATGTTTCCTTAGTTAAAGATGACAAATGCTGTTTATTTAATCGAAAGTCCTTCGTTTTCGCCTCTACAAGTCCTTCTAATCTCTATGTCCATGGAAGGTAATTGCTCGGAAGTTATAGCATCCATCTCCCACTCTATAAGAATATTCAAAACCTACTTCCGAACTTGTTTTTGCTAATAAAAAATATTTCTCTAACAAAGCATCCATTTATACAAATACCCCACCTGTACCTATCTCCCCTAATATAAAATCTTTCTCCGTACATACCTCTGTTGATACGAGTACATACCAATAGGGGTAATCATTAGTTTTTTTATTCGGTTTTTAATAATTATAGTTGAATTTTGGATTAACCAAATCTATTTAAAAAAAAGACTGAGCTGAATCGAATTACTATTTGATTTTTTGGTTAAGAACTGAGATTTTTTGGTTAAAAACTGAAATTTTGGCTTTTGATTTTTTTTAATTTTTAAAATAATATAAATAAATTAAAAACACAATCAATCTATTATATATCTATAATAATGTTAAAATATTATTTTTTTTAGTTTATTTTCTTATTTTAAAACTTAAAAAAATCATTTTTTTTTTGTTTAAATCAAATCGAAAATAAAAAGAATCATCTTGTGATTTTTTGAGTTAAAAGTTAAACCAAAATCAATATTTCGATTCGATTCAATATTTTAATTTAAACCGAATAACATTTATTCCTACATACAAACTTCTATCAGACAACCTTAATGATCATCTTTACCGATAATCAAATCAGGGACTGATAATAAATCAACATATTTGCAGACACAACGGTCGGATACCATGATGACAAATTTTGCTCCCAAATTATTGTAATTTGACAATATTGGACTTAAAATATGAAATTTTGTAATTTTAATCTCAAAGTATTGAAAATTAAGTAAATATAATCTAAATTGTCCAATCTTAATTATTTTTAATGATCATCCAAATCGTCTAATCTCCGTTATTATTTTTTTTTTAATTGAAACCATTGCAATTGAAGGAGGTAGGATAGATGACATGTTGTTTGTGTTACCCTCTTTCAATTACAAATTGAATTTGAAAACGGGAGAGAGAGGCAAAGGCACGGAGAGACTTACACAAAAAGCGAGTTTGTCGTCTGTCTTGCTGCTTTGCAACTACAATGGCTTTCATTTAAAAAAAAAATTAAGTAATGGTCAATTGATAGTTGACCGTTAGAAATAACGAAAATTGAATAATTTGAATCATATTTATTTAAATTTTAATATTTTAGAATTGAAATTATATAATTTCATACTTCATATTCAAAATTACCCAATTGTAATACTGTAGGTGCAAGATTTGTAATAAAACCAGATACCATGTGAGCATTTTGCTCATTTGGCGATCAAAATCTCTCGAATAACTCTGTAGCATCACAGGATCCCAAGACTGCAAGAGTGCCCCCCACTGTCCTTTTCTTGTTCCAAGACTATAAATAAGGGTGATTATTCGGTTTTTCGATTCGATTTTATTTTTTTCGGTTAATCGAATTGGCTAAATCAAAAACCAAAACTGAACCGAATTGATGTTCGGTTTTTCGGTTAAAAAACCAAATTTTTCGATTTTCTATTAAAAACCTTTTTTTTTTTTTTGACATTTTTCTTCTAAAAATCAAATTAATTGCTTTTAAAAAATATCAAACTTGCATAGTAATTGAGTACTCGTTTCCAATAATGATTGATTTTTTTCATTTATTTTTGGAGGAGATCACTTGTTTGAATTACAATTTACAAAGACATAAGTTAATTCACGTAATAACCGCATCATAACTTTTATAGCAATTTAACTTTACAATTCGTTATGATGAATATCATATGTTATTTGAATCTTATGCTCCAATTAATAAATGCACCTTTCTCTATTTATTGAGCCACAATATAATCAAATATTGCATATTTTACATTTGATTTTATAAGAAAATTGTGTAAGATTATTATTATTTTTCTATACTAAACTTGTTTCTATTTATATTATAAACTAGATTGGTTAGGCTTCTCGTTATTTTTTCAATCACGCTACAATTGGTTTTTTTTGTTAATTTTTTATTTTTTTAATCTCCTTATTTTGTGCATATTTTATTGTTGAATAGATAATATGAAAAATCTAATTTTTAATTTATGTTTGTTATAAGCATAAAAAGAGTGAAAAAATTATTATTGTTAGTTGTTATTAATACTACTATTATAAATGTAGCGGCTTGGGGTCATTTTTTTAGGGGATATTTTTATGTCGGTTTTAATATATGGAGACAATTTCTTCTCCATGAGGTTTTAGGATTTATCCATACATAAACTTATGTATTTATAAAGAATTACTTTATCACAGTTTTTTTTTTAATTTGTTTGTGAGTCAATATAATATAATTAATTATTTTATTATTTCAATAAATAATTAATAAAAATATTTTTATTTTAAGTAAAAAAAATCATTAAAGAGCTATTGCTCTTTCGGTTAAACCCATAGGTGCTTCTTTTATTAAAAAAAAAAAAAAGAGCTTGGGTATGTGTTTTTTTTAAAAAAAAACTAATTCGATTTTCGGTGGAAATCAAATTTTTTTAAAACAACCGAATCAAACCGAAATAATTTCCGTTTTTGATTTTAATTTTTTTAAATTTTTTTTATAAAATCAAATCAAAATTGATAATTCAATTCAGTTCAATTTGATTTTAACCGAATAATGCTCACTTCTTACGTACAAACATTAGCCTCTAGTTTTGGCCTTTGGGACCCAAATTTCTTCCTCCACATGTAAGACATTCCAAAGCCAAACACCTCAACGTTTTCTGCTAATTATTGCAAAATAGCCCACCCGAAAAAGCAACCCACATCCCAATCAATCCAAACCCTTCATTCTTTAATCAACGGTCAAATTTCACCCAATGACGCCAACAGCCACAAATCTCACTTTTCATTGGTCCAAACGATCCAACCTGATAACCCGACCCACAAATAGCAGAATGAACCAATCAAATACTGGCACCTCAAACTCACCTCCAATAAAATAATATCTCTATACATATATTGTCTCGCTCTCAGAAGCTTGCATCAACCTTTCTCTCCTCTCTCTCTCTCTCTCTCTATATATTTTCTCTCTCTATTTTTTTCAATCGACAAAAATAGGTTAATTGAAGCTAGAGATTTAATAAATATATATATAAAAGATGTTTTTGGTTGATTGGTTTTATGGGGTTCTAGCATCACTTGGTTTATGGCAAAAAGAAGCGAAGATCTTGTTTTTAGGCCTTGATAATGCTGGCAAAACAACTTTGCTTCACATGTTAAAAGACGAGGTAATTTTTTTGAGTTGAATTATTTATTGCTTTCTATTTTTTCATGATTTTCTTTCCTGGGTTTTGTTTGGTTGCTGAGAAAGTTTAGGAACATTGAATGAAATTGAAAAATAATTAAAATTAAAATTATTTTTTGTTAAATTTTTGGTTAATTAGACGTAAAATATCTACTGGGTTTTGTTGCAATTGAAAAAAAAAATGAGGTACTTTTTTTTATTTTAATTGAATTATTGGGTTGGTTTTGCTTATGAATTTTTTTTTATCTGGGTTTTGTTTGGTTGCTGATAAATTGCTGGACAATTGAATAAATATTGTAGATTTATTATTATTTTTTTTTGTGAAGTTAAAAGCTAAATATGAACTGGGTTTTCTCAGAAATTGAAAAACGAATTGAGTTTTTGTTGAATTTGGTCTTTCCTTTTGAAAGTCAAAAATGGAAATTAAGGCATGAAGTTTGATTCTTTAATTCTTTAATCACTACCATTAGATCTTTCTTGAATGCAAATCTTAGTTGTTGATCAATCATTTTCATTATTATATTATTAATTATTTATTTAAAAAAAATTGTAACAGCTCACGTGTAATTATAAACCTGATATTTTGATTTCTTTATTTGGTTGAATTGTTCTTCAGGTCACTAAAGATGAAAAACGAACTTGGTTTTGTTTAAAATGTAAAAGTTTTGATTTTATAATTAAGAATTTGAAGAAATGAATTTATTTTTTGATGTTTTTTGTTATTGTTTTTGTGTGCGTGTGCAGAGATTGGTGCAACATCAGCCAACACAGTATCCAACATCAGAGGAATTGAGTATAGGCAAAATCAAGTTCAAGGCTTTTGATTTGGGTGGCCATCAGATTGCCCGCCGAGTTTGGAAAGATTATTATACCAAGGTGGTTTATTTACTCTCTCTTAAAATTTCATATAGGCTTTTTCTTGCGTTGTGATTACAATCATTATTTCAACACTTGTGATTGATATTTGCTGTTTACTGGAATGTGTGGAGATTTAGGAAGTTGATAGTTGTTTCTTCTAGTTAGGGCTTTGGAATTTTGGTGAAAATATTAGGAATCTTGTGAAGCTGCTTATTAAAAAGGTTATGGAAGCAAAAGTTACTGTCATCAACACTTAGATTGGACACGTTAACTGCCAAGTGTTGAATAATTTTCATATTTGAGATGCCCTTGCCTCATAATCCCAGATAATGTTTGTTTTGTGATTATCTGATTCATGGGAGGCAAAAAATGAAACGGGGGATTTAGCTGATAGCACTTTTTGGTCTTTGCAAGGTGTTTAACTGGTACCTTTTTCTCCTTTTTGTGTTAATGTTGCAGACTTATTTGGCTGCTAATGGAGATGAACTGCTTTCTGATTTTCTACTTTTGAGACATAGAATGCCCTAGATTTAAATTTGTTGTCTTTCTACACTTTTTGTAATTGGTAGTGTATGATTAATTGTAGCGATAAAATAGTGTACTGACAACTTTCATTGAAGAATCATCTGGGTGACCATTCTGTTCTCCTGGAATTCCTGTTTGCCTCACTTTCCTCCTTGTTTTCTCATGATTTTTGTGTTTTTTAGTCTTTTTAACATGATGAATGGATGACTTTGTTGGAATGTTCCTGTCATCGTTGTTTGGCTTTTTGTGCCGTACTGCTGGGTTTTGACATAAAGTTATTTGCATGTGAAGGTGGATGCTGTTGTTTACCTGGTAGATGCTTATGACAAAGAGAGATTCGCAGAGTCCAAGAAAGAATTGGATGCTCTCCTCTCTGATGAAACATTAGCCAATGTCCCCTTCCTTATTTTGGGCAACAAGATTGATATCCCATATGCTGCCTCAGAAGACGAGTTGCGTTACCACCTTGGTCTTACCAACTTCACCACTGGCAAGGGTAAGGTGAACTTGGAAGACTCAAATGTCCGTCCCCTTGAGGTGTTCATGTGCAGCATTGTCCGCAAAATGGGCTATGGAGAGGGTTTCAGGTGGCTCTCTCAGTATATCAAGTAGTGAGCTATGGGAAAGTAAGATCTGTCTAGTTCTTAAGCTCTGTAATGTTTCATAATGTATCGGTTGGACAACGTCTTTGTATAATCATGTTTGAAGGGCTTTTCACGTAGTTTTGTCGGGTCCTTTTTTTGTTTTCGGTAAAAAGACACATGCTACCTCATGTCCATAATGAAAAAAACCTAGTAGTGATTGATGATTTCTGGTCTCTTATTAGCAATGAAAATGGGCAATACTTCTTATTCCCTGCAGCTTGCTCTCTGACTTGACTCTTGAGTTTGTTATTAAATGGCTGTCCATTCAATTGTCTTCCAAAGCTTCAATTGCACAACAATGCTGTTAAAAGTGCCCGTTTGCTGCAATTTGTATCTACTGTTGTTTCACATTAGAGGGGAAATGAGGGTATGTACTTTCGTTGTCTCTGAGCAAAGGTTGTATGGTTTTGTTGTCTGTTTAGTGACAGGTATTACAACAGCCAAATCTAACTCCCTTACCAAATCCAGTGGACGAGCATATGATTCTCCTCCGACAATAGCAGACACTTGTATAGTAAAATAGTGTCCTCCTCGAATCAAGCATTTGAAGAGCATTTCCATTTACCTCAAAAGCAACCTGTTGTTCGTACCTTGAATCTTCTTCACTGGCACCTGCTTGATTGAGAATCTGTTTACTGTGCTTAATAACAGTTATAAAAATTGAAGAGGAAAATCCCACAGAGCTTCAAGGCTTAAACTGAAGTGAAGAATAGAAAGTGATGGCACTGCCAGTTAGGCTCCATAGCTAGCACGAGCTGATGCACCTACGCCCATTAGTCTTTAATCACTTTCGGCATTTACTAACAAGGGATTTAGATATCAAAAGGGCAGAAAGCCTATCCCTCTATAGTCTATACTCTATATGCTGTGTGAATGGAATTAGAGTCTGCGATGGTGGAGGAACTGGAATGAAAAGAAGATGAATTCTAATTATAAAATATTTCATGAAACCATTATTACTAGAATTGAGATCTCGTTAAAAAAAAAAAAAAGATTTCAAATATCTAGAATTATATATATATTTTTTATGGATGATCCGATCCGCAAGAATCATGATTGAGAATTATTTGATCGTCTTTTTTTCAAGAAAGGACGAAACATGATGAACTTGAATCTATGATAGCTATTTGAAATTATAGAACAATACGATTTGATCACAAATGGGGATGTAGCTCAGATGGTAGAGCGCTCGCTTAGCATGCGAGAGGTACGGGGATCGATACCCCGCATCTCCACTTCTTCAATTTTTTAATATCTTCTTAATTCTAAAAGGTAACCTGAAGAAAAATCCACCGGAATGACGTCAAATTACAAACTTTCAAAACAAAGCACAAGTTTGGTGGCTCACCCACCTCGACACCTTCTTTTTCAGTCCAATTGTTCCTTTCCATTTATCGTTAAAGCTACAGCAGACTACCAAGTTCAACTACCTGATCTCTTTTCGGTTCTTCTTATAGCTAGCTACATTGACCCTCCATCTCAATCAAATAAATATATATCTCTTACATTAACATTGGAATTCTATTTCCTGTATCAGTTTGACTCTGGTATTTATCTTCACATGTTGTAATGGCACTCTCAGCTTTGCCAAAACAAGAATTCCTTGTCTTCACTCTAATTTTCTTGGCCAAACTGTGCTGCTACACTGGTTAGGTTATAATTAGTATCACTTCAACATTCATCTTCTTACCAATGCTCATGTCGTTTTCTTGACATTCTTTATGCTTTCTTGTACTTAACAATAAGCAGGAGATGCACAGGTTGTCCCCGGACAAATGATTGCGAAAGCGTTGTCGTGTTTCAATAACAAGATCGTAAGTAACTAGTTGATTTCATTCTCGTTTCTGTCTTTTTCTTTTTGGCTATTTTTATTATTAACAAGTTGTGCTAGATGTTACACAGATTTATTCAGGATGTGATGAGGCATATAGATTGACAGAGAGTGGGAATCTTAATGTACCTCCTGAAGCAACTAACCTGTTCTGTAATGGACCTTGTCTAGGTGAGACAAGATTAGTGTTGAGTTGCATTAATGATGTGATCTCAGGTTTTCTTTTCTACAATAAGGCTACCGTAAGAGACATAAATTATGCACTTAGTTCTGGCTGCAGTTTCACTAGCCAAAGAGGTAGGTCATAGGTGCCCTACACTGTTGTTTTCCTTTTGTTTTGACCGTTATGTGCTGCTTGAAAATGCTACAAGAATGTAATATGTGCCTGTCCACTGTAGGAGACTTCAATGTGGCAAGTTACATGGAAGGTGAAACAAGCAGTGCATCAAGCTTGCCCAACTTGATTGGATTCTATGCCTTGGCTTTGTTCACTTGGTGGTGTCTACTGATCTTGTAATGTAACTCACCAAATTGCAAGAACATACTACAGGCCGACTGAGCATGCCATTCAAGCACTAAAACGAGAGAATTTCTAAGGGATTAAGTTATATGTTATGTTTTGTTAGGTAATTTTGTTAGATAAATTTCATTTTCTAAGTTATGATAGATTATGTACTTGATGGCTGAGGACTATATAACTCGGAAGTCTAGATATTCTGTTCAAATGATAAGCCAATGTTTTTTGGGTTTCTCTGCTCATTTTTTCAACCTCTTCTGCAATTGATCCAAGATTACGATTAATTTAACAAAAAGTAAGGAAAAATTCAGGAATAGATCAAAATGAGCAAGGCACATAAGCACGCACTGACGCATTCACGCATAGGGATGGCAATTTGCCTTGTCCCGTCGGAGCTCCGCCCCGTCTCGCCCTGTTTGGGTTGGGGATGGTACTCAAAATTTCACTCCGAACGGGGCAGGGGGCGGGGATGGGGTGAAATATTTTGGGGTGGGGTGGGGACGGGGATGGCTATCCTCTTCCTCACCTCGCCATTTTGCCTTTAGAAATGGCAATTTGACGGGACCCCGTCCTTCCCCGTTTAGGGTGGGGATGGTATTAAAATTTCATTCCGAACAAGGCACGAGATGAGGATGGGACGAAATTATTTGAGGCGATGCGGGGACGGGGATAGCTATCCCTGCCCCTGCCTTGCCCCATTGCCATTCCTACTCGTGCATGCACACACATGTATCTGTGCGCAACAATAGATAAGAAGTCTATTATTTGATTCTTTCAGTACTTGAACACCAGAGATAACCTATGTGGATGAAGTGAGTTAATAATCCGAACTAGAGGCTTTTGTGTTGAAACTTGCAAGTTCATGCAGGAGGAGTATTTTTAGCTTGAGGATAGATAGTTTTGGACTGTGGATGCGATTCTTAGCCATCAAATGGCCATTACTGTTTCTTATGGGCTGCCTATACCAGATAAAAAAATATACTGGCCTGATCTCATGCATTACTGTAGATATTACGCAGCTTCTAAAACATGAAAATAAAAAAAGAAACTAGGCAATCACTAATCAGTCAAAGCAAATTAATGGTTGCCATTAAAGTGGAAATAAATTGAAATAGCATTAGTGGAGATATGCGAGCAAATTGGTAACTGAAAATTGTGAAACGTTTTTGTTCTTAATTGTTCCGTAACAGCTAGCCTCATTAGTTAATTATAATCAAGCAACTAGCAGCACCATTCTTATTTTCTAACAAGAAAAAGCTCAGGTGATCCTTTTTTAACAAGAAACTGAAACAATTTTAGTGCCTTAAACGTTACACTCATTAAATGAGTATACAGGCTATAAATTGCTGACATCCCATTCGGTTCTTCATCACCAGCAAATTAAGCAACCTTTCTTTTCATATTGTAAGCAAAAATTTCACAAAACAAAGTTGAAGATATGGCTTGCCAGGGTAACTGTTCATCAAAGAGTGCCTGCAATTTGGAGGTGCCAACGAAGGAGGAAGTCACTACTCAGCCTGAAACTGTGGTGCAAGAGGCTGCAGCTCCTGCTGTTGCTCCTGAGGAGGTGAAGACTGAGGAGAAGGCTGTTGCTCCTGAGGAGGTGAAGACTGAGGAGAGGGCTGTTGCTCCTGAGGAGGTGAAGTCTGAGAAGAAGGATGCTTCTAATGCCAAGAAAGAGGAGGAGCCTGCGAAGGTTGAAGCAGGTACTAGTGATTAAAAACAAGGGATGTTTGAGTTAAGAGTTAATAAAGAGGGAAATAGGGTTTGGATTTTAGCTGTCTTGTTTTAGTCAATTTTAGCATTGGTAGTTGAGTGTTTTTGGGTTTTCTAAAAGTGGATCTGTTGTTGGTGGTTCCACTTTGCTAGTCATTTCTTTATGTTTATGTTGGTTTTTGTTAGAAATCTTTCCCTCGTCAAAATAAATGATTCCTTGTTCTATCTCTCAATCTCTCCAAGTTTTTTTTTTTTTTTCCTGAATCATGCTAACAAATGAGGCACATATATTATAGGGTGAATTTAGCTGCTTAATTTGTAATTTTGGAGACCTCGTATTTGGTTATGACCTTTTCTTTAAAGCGTACACTATGAACAAAAGATTGATGATAACATTTGCTTTCCCTGCTGTCAGTGTGAAAACTGAAGAAAAGCCTGCTGTTCCTGATAAGAAAGAACCTCTAAAGGTTAATAATGCTCATTGGGGTTAAGCATCGAATGTTAACAAGAGGGAATGGGGGTTTTCACAGTGCTTTTGGTTGATATTATGGCAATTTAGGAGTTCTGTTTCTCAGTTCTTTTTTATTGATATCTTCCCCTACAAATAAGTACGTTCTGGTTCTTCTCTCATGTAATTTGTTTCTATTGTGTCTTAGAAGAACAATCATCACAAAATACAAGTAAAAAACGGATAAAATCATCAGTTGGAGCAGCATTTGATTAACTCCAGAAGTATGTTTCATTGAGAAATTCAAGAGTGGATAGAATCATCCAAGGACAGTTGCGCTGCACTTGATTTTGTACAACTGGATCTGGCAAACAAAACTTTCACAGCCAATCATGTCTTCTTTGCAGTAAAGCTCTTTTTTCTCGTCTTTTTCTTGATCAAACATTAGGTTTGTTGGTTATAAAAGACCAACGGACACGACCAAGCGTTCAGTTTCCTTCCACAGCTGTTTTCGAACCCAAGACAACCATGTCTGAATCTTCACATACAATATACAATCTTCATATAAAGCAGACTCGTGTTGGAAGCTTAGGAACTTCTATTCAAGCCTCTATTAGATTTGACTATAAAACAAGGAGAAAGAGACCATTTATGTCAAAGATGGGATAAATAAAGTACCCTCTAGATGGATTGAAAGTACATCAGTCAAAACACTAGTACTGTTAGTCCCCGCCCCTATACTTCCCCACTGGCTTTTGCTACGACTTTGACAAATACTCATGCACTGGGATGGATAGCATCACAGATGGTTAAAGTGATCGGGAAGCTTTGCTTTGCTGAACTCCTTTTAAACTTATGCAGGAAATTTAAAGGTCGCTAGACACTTCATTCATTCTTGAATTGCAAGCCTTGTTGTCAATTGGAATAATTGCTCAATCAAAGTAGCACCGCAGACTTATCCAATAACACTCTGCCCTGGTGTCTTCTTGACATTCCTTTCCCTCATCATCCCTCTCACAATCTCAACTTTTTCCCATCTCTCTTCCTCTGCATACATATTCGACAACAACACATAGTTGCCAGAATTCCACGGTTCAAGATCAATAAGCTCTTTTACTGCAAGATGTGCAAGCTCTGCATCGCCATGAGTACGGCAAGCACTAAGCAAGGAACCCCATAGAGCTGCATTTGGAGTTCCTTCAGGCATGCTTCTAATCAGATCATAAGCCTCCCTCACACATCCATTACGCCCAAGGAGATCAACCATGCATCCATAGTGTTCAAGTTTTGGCTCAATTTGATGATGTTCCACCATTGAAGCAAACAATTTCCTCCCTCGTTCGAATAGCCCTGCATGAGCACAACACGATAAAACTCCTACAAATGTCGCATCATTAGGGCTTATGCCTTTATTCATCATCTCCTCCAACAATTGAACCCCGAGTTCACCATTCCCATTAAAAGCCAGACCTGAGATCATAGTGTTCCAAGAAACCACATTCTTTCGAGGCATCTCATCAAATACTCTTCCAGCAGTCTCAAACATGCCAGATTTATTGTAAAAATCCACCAAAGCATTGCCCACAGCCACAAAATCTTCATAAAGCCCACTTGATTTTGCATAAGAATGAATCCATTGCCCAACATCAAAAGCACCCAATCGAGCACAAACAGGCAAAACAGTGACCACAGTTGCCTCATCGGGCTTAAATCCCCAATTCTTCATTTCATGAAAAAGTGCTAAAGCTTCACTATCTCGCCCAATTCGTGCAAGACAAGAAATCAAGATATTCCACGAAACAACACTCCGCTTGTTCATCTGCCTAAACAAACACAACCCCATACCGACATCCCCTCTCTTACAAAACCCACGAATCATCAAATTCCAAACAATCACATCTCTCTGATACATTTCATCAAACACTTTCTTAGCATCCTCCATTACCCCACAAGAACTATACAACTCAACGACCCCAATTCTTATCGCACTAAAGCCCTCGAACCCAACACCAATAACCTCCTTGTGTACACGTTTCCCAAGTTTCAGCCCACCAAGACTCGAACACGCCTTAAGCAAAGGCACAAGCGTGTACTCATCTGGACAAATACATCGATTTTTCATTGAAGAAAACAACTGGAAAGACTCTTCAAAGGGTCCATTTAAAGAATACCCTTTAATCATTGCATTGAAGAGGATTATAGTGGGATTCTGGGTTTGCTTAAAAACCCGATTCGCATAGGCCATTTTGTTTCGCGACCCGCAAACGGAGACGAAATGTGAAAGGATTTGATTGAGTTGGTCAAGTCCATGGCGAAGGAAATGTGCGTGGATTTCACGGAGCTGCTTTCGGGTTTCGCGCCCATGGAGTAGACGTAGGATATTGCGCTCAATCTCCCTGCAAGTTCTGCTCATCCCTTCTTTCTTACTTATAACAGAAATTTAAAGAAAGTTTGAGTTTGGCGGGAGTTCAGTTTAACTGTAATTTAAAGAAAGCCTTTTTTAGTCAGAGAAAAACAAGAGCTTTTGAGAGGGAAAAAAAATGAATGAAATTAAATAATGAAATCAATATTATTTGCGTTCTAAAAATAATCATGTCCCATTTTCTTATGTTCTTTCTTTATTTTTTTAAGTTCTTAATTACCTATCTTTTTCAAACAATAATTAAGGGTATTTTGATTACAAAGAAAGTTTGTGTAATATTTTCTTAAACGTTTTCCTTAAATCTTCAAACTCTTAAATGGTATTTGTAATTTCATAATATTCTTAGGAGGTTATATAATTTATCCTTGATTTTTCAGTGTACACTAAAAAATTGAAATATGTTTTTCAACTCACTTTTCATTGCACAGCCAAATATAATTAAACTCATTCATTTTATCATAATTTTTTTTCAATGAATAAATAAGGCTTAGAACAAAATTTATAACTAAAAAATTCTACTATTTAAGAAAAAAAAATAACTCAGAAATGTTATTTTCTAACTTATTTTTCATTACACTATCAAATACTGAAAACAGATTTTCCGTTCATTTTTAAGATAAAACCAAATATCAAAAAGTTACCTATTTTCCCAAAAATCAAGTTTGATGATATTCACTTCTCAAAAGGAACGAACGTTAAAAAAGAAAAAATGTAAACTAGAAAGGAGGAAGTTTAATGTGGCTTGTGCAAATTTTGAAAACAGTTTATAAGAAAAATGAAAAAAGCAGTTCATCTTTCTCCATTATTTGATGTTTAGATTTATTTTGTCCGGCATACAGACAGGCCTTGAAATCATCAGTCAGAAGTTAGAGGCAAAGCAGTATCAATACCAGCTTAGAATTGGCAATAAGAGAAATCTGAAAGAAAAATCATTCAGTAATTCCTTAAATGATTAAAGTAAATCCCCTTGTGGGTACAAATTGGAGCATATACAAAATCATTATAGACCTTTCACCTTTCACGGTTTACTAAAGTTTGTCCAACAAGTTGCCCAACTCGCTAAAACAAGGGTGACACAAAAAATAGGCTAGATGACAACAGTGAAAATAGGCTATAACTGTAGAATCTACGGTACATGTCAAGCAAATGAGTGACTGTTTTCTTCTATCAAACTTGATTGCTAGGAAAACATGAAAGACAGCAGTCTACGAGGGGGCAACTATCAAATGTTACATGGCAAAGCTCCGAACCATCATATGATGAAGGTTCCTGATGTTACATCATGGCAAAGCTAATTCCTGGTGGGGAAGTATGAACAAACATGATGATTATTTTTTTGATGAACCAAAACCTCCAAACCCCATCATAGCTGCAATATCAGGATCAATATCAGCTTCCTCCTCTTCTGCCGCCTTCTCTTTCTGTGACCAGAGATGACTTAGCAATTAACCATCAATGAAAGTATATGCTAAATATGATAGTGTAATCTTTGCAGAAGAAAAGAAAAGAAAAGAGAGGAAAAGAATAATTGATAGTTTTAATACAGAAAAAATCAAAATCTGAAGGCCAAAAGATCACATATACCTTCAGGCATGTGTCTTCTGGCGTCAGGAATATTCTCAACACAATTTCCAAGTGAAACTAACCTTTTTTTCTTTCTTTCTTTCTCGGCGTTGACGCTTGCGTTCCTCCTCTTCTTCCTGCTGTTTCAATATCCGTTCGTCAAGATCTGAGGAAAAGGAAACAGGAGTCCGTTAAATTTGCTATTATCCATGAAACGACTAAAGGTACATCAATAAAAGCTCTACACAAATACTACATTTCTCCTATCTATTTTTGAAGTCTTGCCTTGCTCTGTGAAGCTTCCAGGTTCTCTCCGTTTCTTGAGCTTTTCAAATCGCTCTTGGACCTGCAAATATTGAAGAAAAGACATACAGCTTACCACATACCATTCCACTATAGTTAATCAATCCGTTGATTGCTGAGATGCTACAAAACCTTAGCTTAGATATTATCAATCCATAGAATTTTCGTCTTCAACGCTCCAAGTGGTAGGGATTTTATTTGGCCACTAAGTTTACATATTATTTTCTCATTTTGCTTATCTTCATGCATACAGTGTTTTCTTAAGAATTGAAATGAAAGTTCACCAACTTCTCTTTTTAGTTTTTTAGTTTTCTTTTTTCTGATAATTCATATCTAATATTTGTGCCTCTTTAAGAACCTAGGTAATTTCCTCTGGTTTCTTTAGATGGTTTGTTGCTCTCTACATTCTATGTATTGGTGTTCTTCCTTCTGTCATATAATGCTAAAGAAATCTGAATCAATAAAAACATATGACAGCTATTGTAGTAATTCACTGGGTCAATTAAATTCCCCCATTTGTAAAGAAAAGCTTTTTTCAAGAAGGTTGTAAGTACCTGTTGAAGAGATGCCCGCTCCACCCGCATAGACATGCCCAATGCTCTTTGATCTAAGAAAAAAAATTGCAGAAGAGTTACAAGAATGAAACCCACACACATAAAATAAACTTAATAAGCAAATAAGTCAGTGGATAACCACATACGTTTCTTTCCATTGATGTGATCCAAGTAGTTTGCAGAATCCTTTACCACACACTCGCAAAC